TCACCTGCGTGTCCTCCTTTCATATAGGACAAGGTCATTAGAACCCTGTCAAACTGCTCAGGTAGTCGCTTCCTCTGCGTTACTACGTAAAGTTTCATCTGGATCTTCCAAGCGATATACTTGGACTTCGTGCCATCAAAGGCATTGGGTTTCATTGCGCTTCCGTTGAGGAAGGCGGCATTGTCTTGGTTCTCAGCCATCGCGCCGGGATCAGATGGAGAAGAGGGTGGGGTGAGAGATCGTCGGTGAATTGGACTTGGTGATTCAGAATCTTCCACAGCTTCTTCTACGAGGTCTGAGAGACCTTCTGGTGGTACTGCGGATTCTCCAAGTGCGATTGATCAGAGGTGTTCAGTGACTGAATCGAGGGTATCGCGTCTTTCTCTGGGTTCTGAGCTAGATGCTGCGGGTTCGGAGTTTGTGAGGAATTTGTTAGGTTCTCCGGTGTTTACTCTGGTTACTAGTTCTCTGAGTAATGCCTCTTCGCACCGTGGACAATGAGTACTATTTTGTGGGGAATGCGGGCATGGCTGTTGTACGCAGTATCGTATGGGATCTCCGCGTTTATAGATAGTTCTCCCTTCTAGTACTCGATGTAGATATCCTCTGCAATCACAAGAAAGCGTGGTCATGGGCTATCGAGTCCGTGAAGCTGTTTGCAGCAAACCCTGGGACTAATCGTGTTGTAACGACCAGATCAGGGGTAGAGGTTGCCCAAGATGTGAATTTCCAACAAAGAACCGAAAACGCTAATTATGATACAGATCTAGAGATACTGTAGCAGCCCAAAGAGCGATTATGTCTCTTCAGTCCGATGCCCAGAACAGGATTGTCGATCTAACTGCTACCGCCTTTCTGACGCCCGGTTGCAACTGGTTGCTACGTCGTACTTGGGAATATCCGCTTGCACTGCGCAAAGCATGTAACTCTGCCTATGGTAGGGCAAAGTACAATTCTAATAGGATGGAGCTCTGTCTAACCGCCTAAGGGCTAGTGATTACAGAGGTGACTTCGGGGGTGTGATGTGGTAAAAGTTGTGCAAGTGCACGGAGAAGGGTTCCAGGGGTCCAGGTCTTGATGTGGTAGAATTTAGTAGGGTTAAGAGTTAGGGTGAGAGTCGGATGTGCGTATAAGGTGGATCATTGTGTGGAAATGGGTGATGGTTGGTGTGGGAGTGACGAGGATCGTCGTAGGGCAGTTGGTGGAGACTCAAGCTAATGTCAGCAACCAACAATCCAACTGGACTGGGCTACGACAAGGCTGAGGAGACAGACAAGAGGAATGGAGGTGAGTAAAGACCAGCTTGAGTCTGGCTTGTTATTGAGCAGTACGAGCTCCTTATATACATGTCAGACTCAATATCTAGATTATACTACAAATATACAGAGGTGTATAGAAAGTAAAAGAATACTGTAGAATCCGGGAGAACCATTCGGAATATGTAATATTCATGACAGGACAGAGGTGGCCGATGCAGTCGAACTGGTCTGTGGTGCCAAACTTGCTATTGTCTCGTGGTGCAGAGATCTATGAAGGTTGCTATTGGACAAAAAAAATGAATTTGGGGCTGGCGTAGTCTGTATGTACAGTTTGGCAGACAAAAATGTGTGAACATGAACAAACGAGCACAAATGCACACAAACGCACACAAAAGTGCATGAAAGCGGGTGAACATGTGTGATTGTGCACGAAAGTGGACGAATGTACACGATCATGCACGAAAGCGCATGAACGTACACGATTGTGCATGACACTGAGCTTTGGTTTTTGTTATGCCCTGCTTTGAGATTGGTGATGGCGCTAATGTGTGCGCATTTGTGCATTCATTTTATTGTTCAGTTTGGTGTAAGTTAGCAATTGGCTTTCATTTTCGTGATTATGCATCTCATTTGAATCGTCGAGTGCACAAAGGTGCACAAAGATAAACACCTAGCCAAAATGAAACTGTGACAAAATGAGTACATAGTTCATCAGATGCACACTTTCGCACGTGAAAGTGCACGAAAGTGCACAAACGTGAGCTTTCGTGCACGATGGCACACGTTAGTGATCAAACACGCATCATCACGCACGAACATGCACGAAAGTGCACGAACACGCACACAAAATCCTAGACGCACATCGAAAACAAAACTTTGCAGCCAGTGCAAAGGTGAGAATTTATTTCTGTCTAATAGCACCCTTGATAGAACGGAGGACCAGCGTTAGCTAGAGAGCAGGAGGCGCGCACAACCAAACACGACGTTGGCCATCATAACAAGCGAGACAATCACTAGACCCTATCACCTTGCAATCATGGGTTAGAAGTAAACATACTGGCTGGACGAGCGACATACAAGATCCCAGCGGTGAGATCAAAGGCGACACACTTGCTGAGCCCATGTAGTGTATGTAGGACCCTTTCCTTGTCCTGGACGAGCGTGATAAGCTCCTCGCGTTGTCTTACACATATTGGCAATTGAGATACTCACCAGGATACTCGTGACTGACGCAGCTACTAGGATTTGTGGCGGGACGACGAGGCGATGTATGCGGATAGCGCCGAGGTGGCGATGACCGGGACATGGATCATCACTGTGAGGTCGAGCTGCAGTGCATTCATCGATTAAAATAGGATTTGACAAGACATGTGCACCTATGGGGGATGGCACAGTGGCTACAATGGCCTCCACACTTGATATATCCACTGCGTTGAAGAAGACAAAGCCCTCGATAGACTGCTTCAACAGGCGAGCAAGGAAGTACTAGACAAAGTATACAATCCACTTGAGCATCCAAGGGCCGATGTGGAATGTGTGGATAAACAGGATGACTGTCTGCCAGAGGGAGAGATCGACAGTGAGCGCGGGTCGCGGCCAAGGGAGAACGCCGAGCGCTGTATCAAGAAAGTCGTCGAACGACTACACGTTCCAAATCCGGCATCCAGTGCAATCACGTGGTCTCAAGCACGTCGCCCTCACCTCCGTCAGAGGGTGTCCTGTGGGATATCCACTCTGCTACGATTCCATGAAGCCTCATGCTCATCCGAACAGCGAACGTTGGAGGGCTTCATAAAAAGTGGCAGGGTGGGTGCTCCACAAGACACGATTGGGCGATATGAGAGCGGTGAGTGTAGGATAGGCGCGGGCTGCGGCCGAGGCGCTACACTGCGTGCCGCATTTGGAAGGCATAGTCGTCCGACAACCTGGTATAGCGCTCGGCGTTTACCAAAGTTCTTGGCCGCGACCGCCGACCACTGTCCTGTCGACGACTCCATTAGATGCGCGAAAATTTCAAGCAAAGGAGGAGCAGTAGGTCAAATTCAACAATGCTGTACAAGAATCATACGGAGAAAACTCGAGTAAAAGTGTGAGGAGCGGGACGGCTGACGATTGCCACTGGTAAGTACCATGAACTGTACGAGCTGACGATGATGACTGATTGTAAAACGCAGTGCCACGCAATATGCAGCTGGCTCGCAATCAGTCAGCCTGTATAGTCTCGTGATGTTTGCGCCACCTCACCTGGGCGCCCTCGTCTAGATGCAAATGCAACAGTCTCCGTGGAACTCTGACTACTGCGGTCTTGCTATCTCCATCCTCTACCTGCTCATCTTTCAGTGGAATTTTTATCTGGTAGTGCGACTAGGAAATTCTTTCGTCAGTGAGTGTTTTTCTTCGCTCTTTCGACCACCGCCCGCGCATTCGACATTTTTGCCCTCTCCATTTCCCTCGTCATCATTCTTGCACGCAAACCACATTTCAACTACCCATTGCCCAGATAAGCCCATGTAATCAGACACATCCGCACTCTCGTATACGCCGTATCTTCAAGCTCTCTGTCGTATTCGTTACTTTGATGGCTAACCTCAGCTTGTGGCAGGTCTGCGTTCACTGTCGACCTCTCCCTCCGGGAGATAGTTGAACTGTTACTTCGCACGTTCGACATCGGTTCTTTGGTATTCAAGTGTATCGTACATCTCGTCCAGGATTTTCTTGCTCGCCCATCACGGCAGTTTATCGAAGGCTTTGTCTTCTTCAATGCCGTGGATATCTCAAGCCCGGAGGCTATCATAGCCACCGCATCGCTCTGGTAAGTCCGCATGTTTTATGAAGTCCTATCTCGACCGATGAATACGCCCCAGCTCAACTTGGGTGATACTCCGCGTCTCGATCATCACCGCCTCGGCGCTATCTGCAAACACTGCCTTGCCGTCTCGCCACAAACCCTGGTGGCTGTGTCAATTGCGAGTATCCTGGCGAGTCTCGTAATTGTCAGCATGTGTACAGCAACACGAGGAGCTTATCGCGCGCGTCTAGTGTTATCTGCAGCGGCGTCCAGAACAAGGAAAGGATCCGAATGCGCTGCACGCGTTCGGCAAGCGTGCCGTCCACGAACCCACCCCGCCGGTTAGATCTTGTACGTCGCTCGCCCAGCCGGTACGTTCACTTCTGATCCATGGTTTCCGGACGAGACGAGCTGGCGGTCGCCTCGCTCGTTACGATGACCGACGTCGCATTCAGGAATAATCCAACGCAACATTCTACTTACTCACGTAATATAACATGCACTTAGCTACAAAAGCTAAGTAAATTCAGTTGATCCTTGAGGCATTTTGATCCACGATCGCTGTATAGCGGCATTGCAAATGAGCAGGGAGCACACGCTCCAGCGATTCCCGCCAGCCATCCATCTCACTGTCGCTCACGGGTGAACGCACGAGAAGCGCGAACCGCACACTTTGCAGCGTGTCCGCCAACTGCGAAATGTGCACAATGTTGCATGAGCAAGGCAAAATGAGAGCTTCGAGAGCCATAGGCGAAAGGCTCAAATGCAGGCGACTCAGTGTCTCGGGTACATGTGCGAGCGCCTTGTCAAACTGTTTCGGCACAGAGGGAAGATTCTGCGGGATCTTCAACTCGAGAGTCTCGAGGCAAGAAAGCGAACGCAAGGCAGTGAACACGTTGCCGTCTATGATAGACCTTGTCAGGTTAGAAGCCAAGATTGACAGGTATGGGCTTACCGCGGTCGAGATATCCAGTGTTCAAGGATAGGTGCGTTATGTCTTTGCATGTTGTTTCCAGGAAGACATTGAAGGACGCAAAGAAGCTTTCACTTTCCCAGTCCCAGCTTCTCTTCCCAAGCAGCGAGACTTTCCACAGCGTCGTGGGCTCGACGAAGACTTGCAGGACTGCCATGGTGTCGCTCTCGGCCTCTCGGAGCGTCACCTCTTCTATACTGCATATACGACTGCCCGATCGCTGAGCTTTGGATACTGCCACTCCTGGGTGCTCGTTCCTTGGCGTGTCTATCACATACAGGTGACGAATGCTAGTGAACACCGAAAGGATGCCCACCAACTCGCCGATGTCTTGTCCAGACAGCTTGAGCGTCCCTCCGAACGCGGTAGGCTCCTCGATGCACAAGGCAGGCAGTCCCCCTTCTAGATGCAGCACCTCAAGGCGCGGAAGATAGCGGCACATGCAGAGCACCGTGCTGGGTGAACCCTTCCACGAAGCCAAGACGTGGAGCTCGCGGACGTATCGACGCAGGCGCTCCGAGCGCGTGACGAGATCGCGGAAGATCGCGTAGTCGTGCCGCTTTGTTCTGTGTCTGCAGGACGTGACCGGCGAGTCATAGTACTGGGTTGTATGGTTCGCGACGACTCGCCGCAGAAGGCGCTCGGACGCGTAGGGCATCCAGGCGCGGCAGACGAGGGTCGCCTGATACAAGCCAGTGGCATCGAGCCGATCGACGATGGGCCAGAAGAGGTCTTGTGGTAGCTCTGCCCATATTTGAGGCATCTTCACGTCTCGGGAGTGCAGTCGTGTTATGGACGGGAACGAGACCGGTTGTTGGGGTCTGTGCGCTTCCCCGTCGAGATCATGCGGACCCCGAGCACTAATGACTGTCCGTATCGATGAGTCACCGTCACTGCTATGCTCTCGTCACTTTGACAGAAATTTTCGATGTGCAGCAGATGGTCCTTGCATTAGAAGTGAGTCACATCAACCAAGATTTGGGAGAGCTTTCTATTCATACCAGTCTAGTTTTCTCTTCGCGAAAACCCGAGGTCGCCCTCTTCGAGCCTGAAGTTTCTGTAACCGTCTCGTCTTTCTTCCTTCTAATAATAATTCCCTCTCCATATCCATCCAACACACCATAACGCCCGCCATCCAATGTACTCCACTCGGGCGACATCTCTTAACTTCTGCGGTACCATGACATGTGCATGTTCTACTGTGCGCTGAATATCTCCCCCGTACTCGCGCGTGCAGTGGAGCACGACATGCAGCGCCCTCAGCTCCTCGAAACTGCGCTCCAGTGACCGCGTAATTCTAGACAGCTGCCCGTCTGTCCAGGCGTCGAGCATCGTAGCAGGTATGGTCAACTGAAGCGAACGCAGCCCCACGGACAGAGTGTCGAGCAGTGCCGCGACACGTGCAGGGTTGTAGCATTCCTTCGGAATGCGATAGCCCATCCAGTCTGGAATGACGAGCTGCAGAGAGCGTAGGCAAGTGAGGGCGCGAAGCGACGGAAGGCTGTCTTTATCTATGATACGCACGTCAGAAAAAAGGAAATATCCGCACATAATACCAAGAGTACTCACCATCTCGCAGGTGATCCATGTCTAGCGTCAAGTGCGTTACGTTCTGTCCGAAGGTGCAGATGAACCGGTCGATGTCGCCGAGCTCGCTCTTTCCCCGCTCCCTAAATATTGCGTCTGCGTCTTCGATTGTGAACTCCATCAAGGCCAGCCCCGAGCGGTCAGCAAATCGTCCCAGCAGAACGAGATGGTCTGCGGCAGCGTACGTGAGCCCGCCGACAGAGACCGATTCCAGACGCGCAATTGTCTTGCCGCGCAGGTAGCCCACGCCGAAATCGTTAACGTGGCCGTATAGCGACTTGCCGCACGGTAATGGTCTCTGAATGCACACTCGTGAGACGGTGGGAAAGAGTAGCAGGCTACGAGTTAGCGATCCCGTAGACGCCTGGTCGAGGATTAGCGTTCGGAGCGCCGCAATGAGAACGGGATGAGCAACCGATCTTGCGCTGCCGGGGAGTGCAAGGTGACAGTCGTACAGCCGGAGCTCTTGTAGTGCGGCGAGTGGCTCGACAATCTTCACAACTGGCGCTGCTTCGAAGAGGGGTCCGAGGACAGACACGCACGTCGTGTATGCCTGCAAACGCAACGATGTCTGTGCTAGCACAGTGAACCGTTCTACGTCATCACGTCGTTTGAAGTTGTTGCCACTCGCGTCGATGACGATTTGGGCGAACAGCCGTACGGAGGAGCAGGCGAGCCAAGAGCGGCAAACGAGGGAGCAACTGGCAAGTGCGTGTCGCGCCTCAGTATTGGCTGGACCAAAAGAGGTGCTGAAAGCGTAGCCTGTGTGGAGATCCGATGGATACACAACAAAATGGTCGAATACCAAACTCAAGAGCTCTGCTGGCAGCAGCGGTGAGGCAAGTATATCGTGATTCATAGAATGTGGTTCATAGCTTTCAGCGCTGACGTGAGTCATAGCATGCACAGTGGGGGGAAGAAGAATATGCCCATAGCTGCGGAGTCTAGCGACCAACGCAGTATATGTGGCTGCACAACTCATTTGGGAAGGCCGTTCTCATGCATTGCCAATACACGGTCACGTGAGGAATACAATTCTGAAACGCGTAGAGCGGGCCCCCGAAGTGACAGTATAGTTGGAGTGGGTTCCCACCTCCGTACTCACTGCCAGCTCAAAGTGGATATCTGCCAACCGCATGCAAGCCAAATAGTAAGGCAGAAACTGTGTATCGAGTCGCGACGTCAATGCATATGCCAAGCTATGAGAAAGAAGGACCTGTGCCTCCGGCTCATGCTCTCTCTGCTGCTTTGGCCCCGCAGGCAGACATCGATAGCGTGAAAATTCTCTGCGACTCGGATCCTCGGGTTATCCATTTTGCGAGAAGATATATTTACGTCTGTGCAGGCGTTTGCACCCCGGCAGATCACCAGCATGAAATCAGTATCACTAAACCAGACAGAGTATGGTCGAAAGAGATAGCCAGTTCTTGGCTTGCTCAAGGTTGACTATCAAGCGCTTCTGCATCATGATGGCGCTGATGGCGGTTTGGGCGGCAGATTGACCGCCGCTCTCGCACCTCGATCTCGCACCTCGACTCCCAACCGTCAACTAACTTGCTGTTATACTGTTCCAAACATACGAGAGTCGCTGCTGTAATCTTACTTTGCTACACACTGTAGTAACTCGGTTACCGAGTGGTCCGCTCAGCAACAGTATTCCGTTCACGACGCGCAGTGTGCATATAATAAATCGGATGTCGAATACCTCTACGAGTTAGCTCTGTGCGATCTGGCTCACCATAATGGGCTGTTTTTACTTTTGACAGCTCATTTATCAATAGGCTAGCATGAAGACACTTTTCGTAGTGATTACATATTCCACTCATGACTTGTGGCGGAAGGTGGTGTTAACGGCCGGTCGCTCCAGTGAGTCAGCCTGAGCCTATACTGGCATCCGGCACCTTGTATGCCTATAATACATTTCCGTAAATAATACATCCTGTACATTCTTGCTTCAATCAAATCCCCAGGGCTAGCTAGATAATGATAGAGGCCACAGCAAACTGGCGGCGAGGCGGTGCCACGAAGCTCACACGTTCGGCCTTGCTCCCGCGCCTTGAGCCGCGTGTCCAGCGCCGAGCGATCTGTCGTAGGACGAGAATACTCTGCCGCGCAGTTCGTCTCCGTTTGGGAAGACATTCATTTGATAGAGTTGTGCCTATAACGCGGGGAAACCTAATGTTATAACGCTGGCGCAGATCTTGTAGGCTTGTCGTCGTGAGACTGGCGTGACAGAACTGTGAATGCGACAGAATGAATAAACACAATCGAAGGAGGAGCACGCCGAACACTGACCGAGAGATGACTGCATCCCAGGAGAACACTTGTCTTTCATGGTGCCCAAGTGCTCAACACGGACAACACCCTTTTCCCGCGCCTGCGGCATCCATCTGCGCACACGGTCCCGAAGGACCGACGTAACATTCTCCAGCGCGGGCAACCACGGCTCCTCCCATGTCGAGTAGTCGCGCGCACGCAAACCGAACTCGGTGCGGTGCGGCAGGCCGGCGACGAGCCCGTCCAGCGTGCGGACCATGGACTCGAACGCGGGCCAGTGCGTCACCGGTCGCGGCTTGTAGCAGTTGTAGAACTCTATCGAGACCTTGTCTGCCGTCGCATATGGTGAGTCGTTGTGCGTGCGGAACGTCGTGGAGAGGTGGAGGACTTCGCGGTGCGGCTCTTTCGTGACCCAGCTTGTTGGTACCCGATCTAGAAGCGAGAGCTCCCATCTCACTGGTGAATAAAACGCGCTTCCTGTGAGTTTTGGCCTAATAGATATACCAGAGGCAGCTTACCATTTCCCGTGTGTACTTCGTCGATGCGCTTCGTACGCAGCGATATATCCTGACAGTAGTGTTCGACGTCGGACCTGTAGTACGAGCCAAGCAGCGCCTCCGCGATACTGATGACATTCGACGCGTCCGTGGCATCAATAGCGGGCCGTTCGCTGTAGGCATCGCACGGTTTCTCGACTTCGGAACCGTGATTAAGCGCCCGACCTATCAAGCAGACCTGCGACAGCGCAGAGACTTGCTCCAGGGAGAAGATGCAGCCTTTAACCACCAGCTCCTGCAGGCTGCTCAGAGCGCCTTTTGACTGGCGAATTGCTGGTCCCATCCGCGGAGCGCATCGTAGGTGTTCCAGATGTACTATGCGAAGCGTATGAACGGTGGAGACGATCCGGAAGAGCTCGTTGAATGACGAAAGCGTACGGTTGCGGATGCAGAGCTCGGTGAGGCCTTGGAAGGACGCGCGAAGCAAGGAAGGGAGAGCGGCCTGAACGCGCGGTGGGACCGGGCGTGACGGGTCGTGCTCGTCCCATACGATCTTTCGCACGTGATCAGACTGGCGGAGGAGTCCCGAAGAAAGGACCAGCTCCATGGCGGGCGCGGAGTCATCATGAGCATTCACAGGGCTGGCTTCGTTCGGTCCGACATACACCGTTTCGACGAAGCGTCCTGGGTGAGCCTGTCCTGAATAGTGGTCAAAGATGCCGCGGATCTGGTAAAGATGCGTGGTGCGAAGGAGGCAAAGCGTGGAGAAGAGGGGTGAACGGCAGATTTTTCGCCACGCGCGGCAGACCATGGAAAGCCGGCACTGGATCACCATGTGCCTTCGCAACAGCCATGGGGAACTGTCGCCGCAGGAGTGCCACGCCTGACTAGCGGTAGTGACCGATCCTTCTGCCGCGAATGCCGCGACTGTTGTGAGAACCTCCGCGGGAAGACATGCTGCGGTCTGCCTGAACTTTTCCATCCGCGCTTTCCACAATGGCTCATACCAGCTGCATACGTTGAACGCGAAAGGCTCCTGCCCGAAGTTAGCACGGGTGCGTATCCTTAGAGGGACCGGCGTGCTGCCAACGGTTATGGCCAACAGTGGGCGTAGCGATGTTACGGCCCGTAAGTCAACGATTCGACGGCCTTATAGAGGGGCATTTCGGATTATGAGCCGGTCGAAATGAAGTTCGACGGAACAACTTACCCAGGTATAGTCCATTTTTCGCGAAGAATACCATGTTCTCCTTCGGGCACACTCCGCACCCAATGACGTCTCCGTTCTTGCCTACGAAGCAGCGGCGTTAAGACTTATGTAGTGTGGAAACTAAAAATTTGGCTCACAGGTGTAGGTGCTGAGGACCCGCGCCGACCTGATGTCATAGTGTCCGAGGTCCACCATTGCGGACTGGCCATGTTGGTATGCAATGCTATGAGCATGAGGTGAGCGACAGGAGCTCCGGCACGGTTTGCGGAAGCGTACCCAGGCATTATCCTGACAAAAAATTAGCTAGGTCGTCAAACATCGATATTGCAACCTACTTTGCGTCTACCATTCTTAGTGCATGCACTGTGACTTCGAAATAATACAGTGGGTAGTGCGCGGAGATGCTGCTGGCTGACGTGAACTCGGTCGTGGCTTTCTCGGGCTGTTGCTCAAGGAAAGTAGAATCTGTCGAGAGCCCGGATGGCCCTTCGATGAACGAGTCCAACGTGGTTTCGGACATAAACATGTCGCGTCCGGCGTACGAAGCAGCCGTGCCCCAGGCTGTCGGCGGAAGAGACAATTCTGGCGCAGGCAGCCCATCGTCTAGTGTGGCATCTCGGAGGTATTTCTGCATGAAGAGAGGAGCACGAGCAAGGGTCGCCATAGCGAGTGAATCGAAATGTGGGGGGAGAATCTCTGGGGTAACGTCGATGGTGGCAGCTCCGCGAGCATCCGCACAATATATGGTGTCGGCATGAACGACATGGCGGTGCGTTCGGAACGCACCAAGCGGGCTGGAAACAAGAAGCCAACTGTCATTTCAGCGGAGATTGCGATTTGATGCGACCAAGGATGCAGCGGGGACTTCGCTTGCACAGCGGCGACGGCATCCGGCTGCGCGTCCCGTTGGATAGCGCTCGAGCAGCGGGCCGGATTCCATACGTCGTGGAAGGGATTTTCGGGGGCGCGGATGCGTGCGAGCAATAGACGCGAGGGGCAGCCTGAGCAAAACCTCCTTCAGGCTAGATCGATGCCTCCGGTACGGTGTCCGCCTCCCCCAGGTCTAGTTCGTCTTCAGTGCCGCTGCGTCATACTGTACTCTAAACCGTAATCTTCGTCCAGACCCGCGTCGAAGGACTAGTCTCGTACCAGGTGTGAGTGTGAGCTAGAGCTTGAGGCTGTCGACATTGAGCTCGGTCCTGATTTCCGGTTGGCAATCGTTACGGACTATGAGGCCCCGCGGTCCGAGACGTGTTGTACGCAAGTGCCTGAATTTGTAGCACCGGTAGATTCGGCGCGTCGGCGTTATGAGCAAGTGTAGGGAAAAGAGCGGGGCGGCGCATGTCACTTACGTACGGGATGGTTCTTGCACCCAGCTCATGGCCCCCGGTAGGCTCGGGACCGCGACTTCGCCTCAATGCCCGCACGAGTCTGGTCAGTGCAGGCTCGGGATGGTCACATCGTTCAAGTGCACAGCTTCCAGCGAGGAGTTCGCAAGCGGTGTTCAGATGTCGAGCGATGGTTCAAGCCAAAAGAGGATACACACGGCGCATCAGCTACAAGTTTGGAAGCCGGCGCATCATTTCACGTGTGCAGACGCGCGTTAAGCGTCTAGATCTGTCAAAGTGCGTAGCGCTTACGTCCCGCAAATCCGTAAACCCGAAGTCTGTCTTCTCAACAGGTGCAGGGGACTCGGACGCTCGGAAAAAGCTTGAAACAAATAGTCCCAAAACTACGGGCAGGTTGTGAACGGGAGCACTCATCTCTGCGGTTTCTCTATAGCAGTACGTGGCCACCGGGTTTCTTGATCTGATTGGCCATCACCAACTCGCAGGATTTGACTGGCGGCCAATTGTTGTTTCATGTACTAAAAGTTCCTTGTAAGTATCTTTCAGGAGTACAAGAACTCAGCCATTTTGGGGGCATCATGATTGTATTGCCACTCATCGAAAGCATTCGATAGGCGCCGCTAACATACGTCCTTCATTGTTCGAGTCGACACGCCTTCACCTCGCTCTCCTCACCCACCACCACCACATCCCCTGGATTCGAAGGAAACATGGAAGTGGACACGGTCCTTTCGCTCAGAACGGAACGATTCCCACAAGAAATCTTCGAGACAGTCATCGACAACATCGACACCAATGTGGGCCTGCACAGCGCCACCCTCGTCTGCCGCTCTTGGCTTCCTCGCGCATCGCTGCATCTTCTCCGCTCTACTTCCGTGAACTATATAGGGCGTCCGGAATGGTGGTCAAACTCGCCCGACGGCATCGAGACGTGGCGCGCGTGCGAGCAGTTCCTCGCGGCCGTGAAGACGTCCGAGCGCCTGCAGCGCTACGTGCAGGAGGTCGTCGTCGTCAACGCGTGGACGTGCACGCCGAAGGTCATCGCGCTCATCATCGGCGAAGTTCCGCACCTAGAGAGCCTGTTTCTGCGTGGCAATTGCGACACTACTACCCCCGCGGCGCTGGCCGCTCCCGAGGTGCCGGTGTCGTTCAGTGGCACGCTGCGCTTGGACTTGTGCTCCCCGCCTGTGCTCGTATACATCCTGCGGGCATTCACTCGTCTGAAATACCTGCGTCTGAACCCGGTGTTCGACGTGCACTGGGCGCCACAGATAAAACTTTCCCCGTGGCGTACACGCGTGGAGCAGCTTACACTAGAAGGCATCGATTTTTACACCGTGGTGGTAATAGAGACATACATAGACCACAATACCTTGCAAAATGTCACGCTCTTGGGCCCGGACGAGTGGGACCCCGACGGCGTGGAGATGGCGATTCCTACATTCACCAAAACTCTTATCAGGTTCAAAGACGGCATCACCTCCCTGTCTATTAACTCGGGTTATTACAATTGGGGTGAGTGGATATAGCTCTTCCCTGTGCGACTGGTCCTAACTCTTCATTTTACAGCCCCCTTTGGGGTGTTCGCACTGCTTTATCTCAATTCTCTGACAACCCTTGAGCTAGTAATCCCATCCTGCTTCGAAGGGCTCTCACATTTGCGCTATTTCTTCGCCGAGTGGCGCAAAGATATAACCAAGTCGATCCGCAGCCTCCATTTCGTCAGCACGCCGGCGACATTCTATGGTGCCGTGGACGGTCCCGGCCTGACTCTTTGCGATTCGGGCGTTCTGGAATATCTCAATTCCGGCTGCTCGGTGGATTCTGTCACTTGGACGCTCGTCATGAAGCAGGCGCGGCCTTCACTGAGGAATGCGGTCCTGGCGGAGTGCCAGAGGCGTCTTGAGATTATCTTCCCCGAGTATTTACGGGGACACATCTCTTTCAAATCGCGATCAACGTGGGAGCAATGAGGGCCGGGTATGCATTAAGCCATATATTTTCGTCTGCGACTGGATGTTTTCCTTTCAATGTCTGTAACAAAGTATCGCGTACCATGGTATAGAAGTTAGCTACTAAAATATTCTTAAAATAAAATAAAATACCTAAGGATTTCTCACTGACATTAGCTATCGCGCATTCCGGGCAGAAAACAGAGAGTGAATGTTATAAGTAGAAACGCCACAAAGTCTTCGCGGGCGTCTTCGCAGCCCAATTTTGATCGCATCACTCTCAAGCTGACCGCCACGTCATTTGCCGCGAGTCCCGGGAAACATGCAGTACTTGGCGCAGGAGCTCGTCGACCATATCATCGACACCATCGCAGACACGCCCAACCGCCGTTTCACGACAGAGCGCACGCTTGCGACCTGCACGCTCGTCGCGCGGGCATGGCTCCCGCGCAGCTCTACGCACCTCTTCGAACGGATCGCCTTGCGCCCGGACGACCTCGAGCAGTTTTTCTCGGCCTTGGAGACGTGTCACCGGCTAGTAGCGAACGTCGCAGAGCTCGAGCTGACCTCTGGGCCGTATGCAGGTCTCGAGAGCGTTGCTGCCCTGCTGCTGCTGCGGCCGCCGCGGCTTCGCCGCATCGTGTACCAGGACTACTTGCTCCTCTCCGGGGGCCGCGGCGATATACACTTGAAGCATGCGAGAGTGCCGATGCCTGTCGTGGACAGTCGCCGTCTGACACACTTGAAGCTGCAGTCTGTCGACGCTTTTGCCCTCTCTCAGCTGCTCGCTCACTTTGATGACCTGGACACCCTCGAGCTGGACCCACAACACCGATACCCGTTCTACAGAGCCTGTGCAGAGAGCCCTTGGCCCATTCCTCCACATCTACGCGTAAGGAAGTTCATACTGGCAGACGTCGCGGCTGCCTCGGCTCTCGGATACGTTCGGGTCCTGCGTGCCCACCTATCGCCGTCCGCTCTAAAGATCATGGCGTTCAAGGGTTTCTGCGCCGACAAGGACGGGCCCTATGTTAATGGCGCTCTGAGAGATCTTTCCCGCGGCGCCGAAGACCTCTCCCTATGCTTCTACGATAAGGACATAACAATCGACCCAGAGAGCGCGTCCTCCTCGAGTAAGCATTAAAGGCTTTCGTCGTGATGCATCTTGCTAATTTTGCGGCAAACAGAGTATCACATGGCGGCTTTGGAAGGGTGCAGCAACGTGCAGAGAATCTCCATAAGCTTCATTGACTGCCGTCAGGTGCGCCTACACTGCGATTCGTCTTATGTACTCATCTGAATCTGCTTTCAGCAATTTCCGTGGGCATGTGAAAGCATCCTGCCGTATCTGTCTCTGTCCATTCGTCGACTTATCCTGCTGCTTTGCGGTCCCGCAGACCTTCGTAGGCTCGTGCACGCCCGCATGGACACGTTCGAGCGCAGCCTCGCCAAATGCGACAAGCTCGAGGCGCTGGAGATTCGGGTGACGGGAGCTGCGATGTGGGCGAACAGCGAGACGAAACTGTTCGATGAGATGAGGGACGCGCTTCCGAAGGTCTTGTCTGGCCGTCTGGCGGCGTTGACGTCCATTGTGCTGCTGTGATGCCGTGGCGGATGGAAACAGGAAAGCTCTAAGCGCTGGCGACTATGGCGTTGTGTCCAACATTGCAGCGCCTCGGAGACCGTATAAATACCTATGTGATAGTGTGCATTTGAGCGCAACCTAGAATTGGCTTACAAGGACCTTGTTGCCTTGAATTGTTTTGACAATATGACTGTTAAATAGACAGAAGATTTCTATATATACAAAAAGCATCTGATCGGGCTGGCGTAGCATTCGCGGAAAGGAATCTCACTATCTTGTTTAGTGGTAGTGCCCCGCTGATCATGCAAGGTTAGCATATAGAAACGTATATTTGTTATCAGAAACTCAGATATTCCTCCAATTGTGCGAGCACACCCTACTTATCGCAAAGGCACACTCTGCACTATTGTCGAAAACACTCGATCACATTCTTAGACGGGTAGGACGATACAAGTACATTCGAAACGGTCACTCGCAGGACTACACAACGGTGCGCATCGACTTAGGCGGTAATGGGGACGCAGCCGATGCCGATGCCGTTCTGTAACTAAATGTCAGTCTATATCCTCCCCAATATTTTAGCGAAGTACGTACGACAATGCCGTCAGAGCAGGAGACGGTGCTGCCGCTGCACTCGGAGCCAGAGCCGACTCCGACGACGCTGATGGGGCTGCAGGTGAGCCCGAGCAGGACGTCCGGGTCGCTCAGGACGACGCCGATGGACTTGAGGATCGCGGCGCCGGCTGCAGAGTTAGCCTGGCATCCGAACGATGGTCAGCATTGCTGGAGTCAGCAGAGAAACAAAGGCAACATACAGACTCGGTACTGGTGCAGCACGCGTCCGTAGACGACCCGCCGCTGCCGCCACGGGCGACGTTGGCAGGTGTGGCGGCCGCAAGAAGGGCGAGGGAGAGCGTGGAGAAGATAGTGAAGCGAGAGAACATCTTGGTTTGAGACTTGAGTTGCAAGTGACACGAGAGTGTGGTTTGCTGGAGGACAGAGGGCACAGCGAGCCCAGCTTTTATACGTCGAGGAGACGTTGCACTACACCCATACAAGGTGCACGGGAGTACCAGCTACCTTGCAAAAGCGTCCGGGCGTCGTGGTGTGGAGCAAAACGTCGCGATGCTCCACTACGCGAAGCATCCTGGGAAGACGTCGGCATTCAGCCCTGCGTTCGCATCTGTCGCAACCCCCGATAACGACGCGTGAGCATGAGACGGAGGATGATCAGATGTATGGGTGGGTGGAGCAGTCCAAGGGGCAATGTTCTTCGGATGTCGTAGAACGATAGCGGATATTCAGAGGTTGCGACGAGACATATATGGCATTTTTCCGCACCAGGTGGTTTATGGCTGCTTGAGTTGGGTCCAGGAGCCTAGATTTAGCGCGTTAGACGGAACATTAACTCGACGAAAGATAATCTCGAAATACTCAGCCTCGACAACGACGATAACCATCACGGTGTAACACGGCATTCAGCCCATTATGGCCCTCCTGAGCTCATCGCCTGTGGGAAAATGACGTTTGTTGTTGGTAGTCTTTGTGGCCGACTTCTCGAAATAATGTCGGGCTCACGCGTGTCACAGACGAGTGGGTGGAGCAGCCTAAGGGGCAGTGTTCTTCGGATGTCGTAAAACGATAGCGGATATTCAGAGGTTGCGATCGGACATATATGGCATTTTTCTGCACCAGATGGTCTACGACTGCTTGAGCCGTGCCCAGACAACTAGATTTACTACATCAGACAGAGCGAAAAGTGGTGCCAAAATACTCAGCCTCGACAATGGTGGCAATCACTAAGGTACGGCGCGGGGCTCAACCTAACACAGCCCTGCCGGGCTCGCCGTCTGTGGGAGAATGACGTTCGTTGGTAGGCCTCGCGGCCGACTTCTCGAGATAATGTCGGGCTCATGCGTGCCATCATCACGCTGGACATCTCTTGGCTGGAAGCTCTGATAGCTCGCCGTTGGCAAGTTTGTATTGCCAGGCATTGCATGAGTGGAGTCCTCGAGATAGCATTTACTGGACGTCCTCTGCGACATAGGACACGTTATCCCTGGTAGTAAGTAGAACAAGAGAACGAAGCAGCAGGAGCTCCAACAATGATTGACTCACCTGCCTTCCCATCATGATCGCATACTGACATGGAAGGCACGAGGTGCAAACAACCATATAGCATATTAAAAGACAGTGTGCACATTACATGAGAGCTACAAGGGGCGCTACAAGCTAGAAACACAGAGCAGAGCACAACAGTGACTTACAGACAAAGCAGTGCAAGGCGCATACAGAGCATAGAAGGCATAGAGAGAGCATAAGTTACGCAATCCCGAACCGCCACGTCACACCACCCACTCAATCTCCTTCTTGACCTCCTCGTGCTCGAGCGTCTTCTCATGGTACCGCACTTGCGGCACATACGCTCGCTCCTCGCTCGTCCCGTTAGTCCAGTCGTACACGCGCTTCGCGCGCATGCGCAAGTCGACGCTGCAGTGCACCTTCATGCGCACGCCCGCGTCCGTGCACACAGGCACGTGGCGGCCGCGGCCCCAGTTGACGACGGGTTCGTGCACCCACGCGTTGTCGGGCAGCTGGTAGTGCTGCTCGAGCGGTATGACCTCGAGCACCCACCACGCCGGCGCGAGCGCGAGCTGGTCGTACAGCGGGCAGAGCAGGTCCGCGAGGTCCTCTTCCGCCTCGGTCAGCTCCCCGAGCGCGCCGGCGCGCAGCCGCTGCAGCGTCGTGACCCGCGGGGCTGGAGGCGTAGCGGGCAACTTCGGCGTGTCGGTGGTGAAGACGGGTGTATTCACGGGTGTGGGCCCCGCCGAGAGCGGCTCGTCGACGAGCGTCCTGGTCGAGTCGGTGCGTACATGCAGCGGAACCGTGGGCGGTCTCAGCGTCGGCGCTTGGATGTCTGGGAGCTTGGGAGTCTGCTCCGCGATGGCGGCAAGGTACTCTTCTTCGCTGACGATGTTGGTCATGTCAAGCGGTCGGGGAGCCGGCTTCAAATCGGGGTAGAACATCGCGGGGTCGAGGCCAACGTTCTTGAGCAGCTCAGTGTGGAAACGAATGCCGGTGTTCGCGAGGAAGCACTGGCGGATCATCCAGCGCAGAGGGATGCGTGCAAGGTTGTGGCGAGTATCGTTCGGGACAGAGCCACCACCGACGTCTGTGTAGACAGCGTGAGCATGGCCATGCGTGAAGACCAAACAAATGGGACCGACCACAATGACACCCGGAGAACCACACTTCCAGGACATCGGTCTCCTTCTTGGTTGTTCCGTTGATGGCATACTCCGAGACATCGTGCTTCCAGTCCGCCAAATCTTCATCGTCGCTGTCGCTACCCTTGTCGTGCTTGTTCTTCCGCTTCACTGACTTCGACAGAGTGTCGTACATAGTGTGCATCTTTGCCGTAATAGTTGCTTCTTTCGCGGCGAGGGCAGTCTGCGCTTGCGGCTTGGGCATTTCACCAGGCTGGACACCGAGCTGCACTTCCTGGTCGGTGGGACGGTTGTAGAGATTGGCCTTGAACTTCGCGCGACGTTCGTCCAGAGACAGAGCGTGGCGGAAATAGCGGACTGCAGTGTTCGACGATACAAAGGGCAGGCGACGAGGGAAGAGACCAACAGAGCAAACCGTGTCCCTAGACGAATCCCAAGCCATCAGCGAGCACATCAAGTTGGCAAGATCATAACACTTACCAAACACCGACGAATTCGATATCAACGTCCATCGAGAAGGCTTTTTTGAACGCCGCGCTCTGCTTCCATCCAATGTCATCGGCTCGGGTGTACATCTTGTACGCGAACGGCACTTGCTGGCTATTGCATGAAGGAAGCAACCCAACTTTGTGGATCATGCCAGCGAGCGAGCGTGCGATGTACGCGCCGCGTGAGAAGCCGAAGATACAGATTTTGTCCCCTCCCTGGTCTGCAATGTAAGTCAGCACCGGGCATTCTATGAAGACATCGATCAGTCTCACAGTTTTGCATAAGGAATTCGTAGCCCTCTATGAAAGGTATGAGGTTAGATGGAGTCGCAGAGCCGAGATCTGATACGCACGCATGACATGGGCATCCAAATTCCAGGCGATAGCCGCGTCCACAGTCTGGTTCAGTTTCGCCCATAGAGGTGTTGCGATCTGAGGAATGGTGTATGTGCCAATTCCAGCCTGTGGTAGTACACTCAGATTCAGACTGCTCGAGAACGTGGGCAAACGCACCTGATAATAAACCATTTGCTGAGTATGATCATCCTTTTGTAACAGCGTGAAGAATTGGATAACGTTCGAGTTCTAAGCCTAGTCAGAGTATGTCCGGGAGTGACGACTATACGCAGACCTACGTCGGCGTCGAACTGATCGCCTGTACCATCGAAGCAAAGCACGAGAGTCCTCGGTCGAGGCTTGAGAGGATCTGCTGGAGGGATGATACTCGGCAGCGTTGTGATAACAGGTGGAGGGAGCGCCATAGTTTGCGAGCGTGGATTTGAACGACCTCGGGAAAGTACACTCCAGCGGGAAGGCTCGGGAGGCGGGAGTTGAGGCGGGGGATGGATTATATATCAAGAGTGGATATTTCCGGACATCTGTCTCGTTTGATTCATCCATTCGGCGGCTGGAAGTTGATTCTACAAATGGCGTAGGCTGTCCGGACAGCAGGCACGGTGTCGGTGGCCATCAATGCCGATGGCTCTTGTGGACAGATGCGTCTCTAGAGGCGCGGCGAGCGCGGGAGCTCGGACTCCGTATGGGTTGTACCATTGTGGCTTGCTGCAGCCGTCGGTCACGCTCGAGATAGAGTTGTGTCCGGTGGTACAGCTCCAGGACACGAAATACGCTCGTGGGATGTGCAAAGACTGGAAGCGCGTCGGCACGCGCCTTCCCCGCAACAACCATGTGTTCCGGCGCCTCATGTGACCGTTTCTTCTAGGCCGGCCGTCTTCGTAAGTTCATCTCCTCCGCACAGGCGACCCACATTTCAGAGGATGCATACAGGGTGAGTTTGGATCGGCATAATTCCGACAGCGGTGTCCATAGATTCCGTAAGGTGCTGAGCTTGCGAATACAGTACAGCGATCCAAACGCCAGCGCCAGTACTTACTGCACGTTTGCTGCGCTTGGCCGCGCTGGAGGTCGCTGGCTGTGCAAGCCTCAACGAGCAGATGGCGGACGTCAGAACAAACCCGGACGCCTTCATAAGCAAATGTTGGGGCTCCTTGGTGATCGGAAGTGCTGATAACCTGTGCGTTATAGTCCTGGCTTGGAGCCGGTTAACGACTGCCCGACTCTGCTAGGTTCCGGTCGGCCTGTGGGTGCGGCATACGTCCCTCCATTGCATGTTGACCTCTTGCACGGAAGCATCGTCTTGAAATTCAGCTCGAATGTGGCTGAAAGAGGGGATCCACTTCCGTCACCCACGGTAGTTCCGTAGATGTTACCCACCCTCTATTCAGTGACCACGCCGAATCGCACTTCCGTTCTCCACGGCTGTCTTCGTGGTCTTCCATGACTGTGGCCGTATGTTGGCATTGTGCTGGTATTGGATGATGGTGCATGACAAGCGTGGTGCTCCCTGCGTCGACGCCCCACATGTGAGGCGGCGGCGGCTGTGAGCGAGAAAGAGGATTCGTCGCTGACGCAGAGCAGAGGAGATGGCGGTTCGAAAGAGAGAAGTGACAGGGCTGAATGAAGCGGTGAGTCGGGCTGGGACGGCACAGTCTGGCTTTGACAGCCTTGAAGCTTCTCGCCGGTGGGCATTGACGGTTGTCCAAAGTAGGAAGGGCGCATCAATGATCGGACATCAAGCGAAGTCGGACACACCACGGCACCTACCACCAGCCGACGCTCAATCCAACTGCAAGAGGGAGGCACGTTACGTGCATTCGAACTGCCCCAGAAATTCAATGCATGTACTCATCTGAAAGTACTAGTCCACTTCCTGCGACGCTATCAAAGTCCCCAAGTAAGTGCCGACTAAAACGATCAACGAGAGAGCTTTTGCTGCAGATTTCTTGTCAATCGGAGTGGCTCTGCTACATCCACCGCGTATTTTCGTTAGCGTAACCTTACTCTATCTTTGGAAGGTACGTCGAAGCATCGCTTACAACCGCTTTGAGGTGGCCCAGAGGGTAGTCATATCCATCGTTTATGACGATGTTGCGTTCCGCCTACGGCAAAGCCCTGTCGGCTAAGATCCCAAGTGCGGCCAGTAAGAGAGCCCGCTCATTACCATATTGCGTCGCTAATGATGCACGACAGTTTGGGACGTGGGGGTATGCGTGACACAATCAAACTTGGCCCAGTTGTGCATAAAATGACTGCTGTATGTCCGGAGATGCCAGGTGCCAAGAGCCTTTCGAACTTGTGCCCGGAAATGAAAGTGCTGTGTATCATCACATGCCTGGGATCATCATGCTTTCGTCATTTTCATCATCGTATTCGGGAGCGCCCTCAATGTCCGCACCGATGCGCCGTATAGCGACGTCTCTACTACCTCAAGGGCTGTACTACCTGTCTTCCAAAATGTGTCCGAAATTCGACCTGTAAATGCGCAAGTACAAACACTCGGTGATTAACGCAGACCATTATCTGGTACGCTAATATTCGTACTTCTTTTCTGATTTTCTTAATATCTACAATTTGTCCCGCTGTGGGTGCGGCTCGATCTCTTCGAACCGCACGATCACACTTCCCATAGGGAAACGGCCCACAATCGCCAGCTAAGTTCAGCTTGCTTGGACTCGTCTTCGGTCAGAGTGAATAACATGACCGAACCTTCCCCGAGGCTCGATTCCTACCGCCAGAGAAAATCCTGCTAGTAATGGGTTATCAGAATTCCCAGCAAGCGAATGTACGACATTTTGATCACAGGCGGACGAGGACATGAAGTCGCCGTCGCCTTAGCAAGCCCGACGCGAGCATGGCCTGCCAACGTCATTTTCCCATGGAAGATGACCGAAGCATGGCTACGTCTAGCTGAACTCCTCTACGTATTGCGCTGTTGTTGTCGCTGCTAGAACAACAAGAACGCGTGTCATCCCTTGCCAAGTCGACTTTTCGAATGGTACGCCGACTTTGTGCTCCTACGTCAAGTCTCTCGGATAACCACGGATTATCTGGTACAGAAACATCTAATATAATAAAACACCTCGGGCGTCAAATCCCCGAGACAAAGAGGCACTCTCATTGGCCAGTGATCCCCTCTCACGAGGCGCCTCTCACAGGGGCGCTGCACGCCCAGCCAACCGAAGGTTGGCGGCGGGCGGCGCGTTCCTCTCATTTCTCATTCGATTTCTCTTCATTCTCTTCTGAATTCTTCTCTCAATCTCTTTTCTCAGTTCGCTCTGCCCGTGCGTAGCACGGGTCACCCTCTCGTACCATATATGTTTATCCAAACCTCCAGACGTCGGTTATCTCTTCACTGTATTTAAAAGCCGCTGTACCTTACGATGCTCCATCTAACCACGCACTTGACCAGCATTCATCTCGTGTTATCAGAACTGCGACAGATGTAAGCGCAGGGCTGAATTTCGAGGTCTTCACAGGAAGCTTTGCACGGTGGAGCATCGCGACGGTTGCTCCACAACACGACGTTCGGATGCTGTTGTTGAGCCGGTACGTCCTCGCACCTTTCATAGCTAACCCAGTCCTCCGCTCGACATATAAAAGCCAGCGTCGCCGCGCCTTCTGTTCTCCAGCAAACCGCACTCTCGTGTCACTTGCAACTCAGATCTCAAGCGAAGATGTTCTCTCGCCTCGCCGTCTTCTCCACGCTCTCCCTCGCCCTTCTTGCGGCCGCCACACCCGCCAATGTCGCCCGCTGGAGCAGCGAGTCGTCCACAAATGCGTGCTGCACCAGCACCGAGCCTGTATTTTATATTATATTATATTTTATGTTGACATCAGCCATACTGACCATTGTTCACATACAGGCCAACTCTGCGGCTGGCGAAGCACTCCTCAGCTCCATCGGCGTCACCCTAAGCGACCTTAACGTCTTGCTCGGGCTCACCTGCAGCCCCATCAGCCTCGTCGGTGTTGGCTCCGGCTCCGAATGCAGCGGCAGCACTGTCTCCTGCTCTGACGGCGTTGTCGTAAGTGCCTTGCTGGAATATTGCGGAGGACCGAGACTGACGTTCAGCGACAGAACGGTGTCGGCATTGGATGCGTCCCTATCACTATCTAAGTCTATGCGCACTATCTAGTAGTCTTGCGAATGATTGGTGTGGAGATGCCCGTCTATGAATGTTATGATGATTTGCTGTTAGAATGCCCTAGGGCGTGTGCCATTGAAAACCAGCATAGATGGAATATCACCAGGCTATTTGTGCTATCGCATATGTCCTGCACTGTGGACCAGGGTCGAAAGTAGCCGATGGCCCAGGAGTGCACGATAAAGGTGCAGCGCGCAGGAAAAGCGCGCATCATGATGGCGCATCAGAACGCCACGACTGCCTCCCACCCGGCTTGATGCGCTATGTTCCCATCCCATCTCATCGCCGCGGCGCACTGTTTCGCATTGCACACTAATTGCACCGCGATGCCTAGTTCTTCTTCTGGATTATTGCTGTCTGGGCCGCTCTGGAAACTCAAATTGTGCCAATAGCTTTACGATACTCCGGATCATTCGCCGCCTAGATCTTCAGAGGTCATCTGCGTCGCACCGAAACGTGCCGGCCTGGGTCGGGTGCACTTGTCTGGAGGCATCGAGGATCGCAAACGCTGTAGATTCATGGCAACTGCCGCGATCATGGATGCAATTCTCCGTCGATAAAACCAACGTTTAAGGACAGGCATCTCGCTAGTCTGTCCTCGCAGTAACAGCGTGGCTACGATGGTGTGTAGCCAGTGTGATGTTGCTGGCACTTTCCGTGTCTGCTCACCATGCCCTCCTTTTCCCTATTGCTATGCGGATTCTCCGGTCGGCGAAGGAAGCCCCTGAGCACTGAAGCGACGGGTGGGCATATACGATGTTGAGGATGCACGGATAACAAACACCCTTCAGATCCGGAAGCTCAGCATATGAAAGATGCCTTGGAGTGTCTGATAGATTCAGTGGAGGGAGAGAGCTCGCACAAGGTCCGTACCCGATCACAATGCTGTCCATGACGGATGACGAGACTTAGTTGGCTACTTGTAGGCTGAGCACGGTAGAGAAATGCAAGCGTTCCTTCGTCTGTTCACAAGCTATATCAAACGGAAGCGAGAGCGAAGTGTGCTGTATGTCATTTCAACCTTGCTTGTGCTCCCATCTAATCGCCATCTAAGGGTATGGGATCGGGTGCAACCTATCTCCACAGACCAGATCGTTCCGTATGATAGCTTACCAGCCAGCGGCAATTTTAATAATCTCAAAAAGCTCGCAGTGCTAAAGGTCAATGGGGGCCTTGGAACGTCAATGGGTGCGCCTCGCGAAGCCTATCCTTTAGCCAGCTGACAATGTCTGACAGGGATGCCTGGCGCGAAGAGCGCCTTGGAAGTCAAGAACGGCGTGACCTTCCTCGACCTCACAGTCCGCCAGGTCGAGTCCTTGAACATAGCAAATCATGTTGACGTGCCTCTCATTCTCATGACGTCGTTCCATACCCAGGATGACACTCTGCGGGTCATCAAGAAGTACGCAGATCACCAGGTGCACATCACGACATTTAACCAGTCGCGCTACCCGCGGGTGTACAAGGAGAACATGCTACCATGTCCGAAATCATCCAAAGACGAGCATGAAAAGTGGTACCCGCCAGGACATGGAGATCTGTACTATTCGCTCGCGCATTCAGGCGTACTCGATCGTCTATTGCAGCAGGGAAAGCAGTATCTCTTCGTGTCCAACTCGGATAATCTTGGCGCTACGTACAACTCTCCTCTTTCCTGTTCAAAATTCTTTGCTGAGGTTCTGCATTAGTGTAGATGAGCGGATCCTGGACCACATGATTGACACGCAGACCGACTTCGCCATGGAGGTTACGGACAAGACCAGGGCGGACATACAGGGCGGAACGCTGGTCAACTACGACGGCCACATTCGCTTGCTCGAAATGGCGCAAACCCCTGCAGACCACGAAGAAGATTCCCAGTCCGCGCGGAGCTTCAAGCTGTTCAACACCAATAACTTGTGGATCGACCTGCACTGTGCGTGCTTCACGACTCATTTGAACATTAGCGCCCGGCTTATTTGCTTCCAGCTTTGAAGCGGAATATGGACAAGGGCGGCATGGACCTCGATCTCATCGTGCGCGAGAAGGCTATGGACGACGGCCAGGCGGTCATTCAGGTCGGTCTCACCATTCCCCTCTATCTCCGGCGCTTTCTGAACCCCGTCGCCGCTAGCTCGAGACGGCGGCAGGGTCAGCCATCAAGCACTTCGACAATGCTTGCGGGATACACGTGCCTCGGAGTCGCTTCATTCCTGTGAAGACTTGCAGTGACCTGCTTCTGCTCACGAGCGACATTTACGCGCTGCAGAACGACAGGCTCGTGCCGAACCCCGACCGCATGTTTACGTCTATTCCGGTCATTAAGCTAGGTGACCACTACCGTAAAGTGTGTATCTTTGCGATCTACACTTCGTTGGAACTTCTGCTGAAATATATGTGTAGATCCAGGAATTCCAAGAGCGCTTCAAACAGATCCCTAAAATTGCGGAGCTTGACCACTTGACGGTTTCTGGAGATGTACATTGGGGACGAAATATCACCTTAAGAGGCACTGTTATAGGTATGCTCCCGCTTACCTCCTAGACTGTCATGTCAAGCAAACGGTCGTTAGTTGCCGCAAGCGAAGGCCAGCGGATCGATATTCCCAGCGGCACCACTCTCGAGAACAGTGAGTACTGGTGTCGTTAACAATTGACCATGCGCGTGTTCTAATCGCTGTGGAACGTCTCTAGAACTCATCTCTGGAAACCTCAATTTGATTGTACGTCTCGGACTTGTCTGCCATCCACAGATGCTCGTATTAACCAGGACTACTTGCAGGAACTGTGAAATATCCAAAATTCACGCGCATATTCCAAGTGTCAGCCTCCATGGTATCATGAATTAGCATCATCTGAATTTTTTGCACCTTTCATGCACTGTACGCCTGCCGGCACTGGTCTGTATACATAGTTTTCCTTCACTTCTCAAAATGTGGTGAAGTTATATCCGTTGCTTTCCTGATAAATCAGCTTGGTTAAACTTTGAAATATCTCTATGAACTTGCCGTTGGCTTGTTTTTTTCGCCCGCTGCTGGACATGTCGAGGTGCGTCCGTGGACTCCGTGGGCAATTCGAGAGGCGGTCACGGGCGTCAAAATCCCACAAACACGCTACCGCGGCACGCCCGGGTAATCACAGCGCCATGCCCGGTATTCTCGCGACTATAACAGCTGGCGCACATCTCAAGATGTACCCTCTCCGAACCACTCTGGATCTCTTTGGACCTCTTTGAAAATCTCTCATCTTTCCTGCTCACGCCTTGAATCAACGACCTATCGCTATTGGAGATGTCGGGCGGATACAAGTACGCAAACCTGCGGACCAAGAATTCCGGGAACAGCGACGAGTTCTACAAACGTACTCTCGCGAGGCTGCAGAAGATACAGACACACCTCGAGACGGCGCCGCGCGCGAGGAGGCTGAAAGACAAGGTTTGCATTGTCACGGGGGCCGGGTCGCTTAAGGGCATTGGGTGCGTCGTGTGGATTCTCATACTACTACCTTCGGACTAACGGGTCGTGTATAGGAGGGCCTCTGCGGTACTATTCGCGCACGAAGGTAAGTTGATTGATATATGTAGGAGAATACCAGCGTGGTCGCTAACGTTCGCACAGGTGCCAGGCACTTGTATCTCCTCGACTTCGACGCAACGAACCTCCCTGACCTGAAGTCAACTATTGAAACCAAGTATCCGGATGTCAAGGTATGACTCAAGTGTTGTTGAACAGATACCCAGTTTTTCTGATTCGATTTGCATATATATAGGTCACAATACAGCAAGGGGATGCGGCAGACGATGCTACTATCGAGAGTCTCTGCAAGCAGGCGATGCAGGAAGAAGGCAGACTAGACGTATTCTTCGCGAACGTACGCCCCCTTCTCTACCTTCACAATTTTTGCATTAAGGCCCAGGTTTTAGGCTGGGATTGCTACTATTGATGGTCTCCAAGAAATCTCTGCCGACCAATTTATGCGGAGTATGAGGATCAACGCGCTGTCGTATGTCCTCTGCAACTTCATTCGAGCCGCTTGCATGGTCTTACAGTAAGAGCAGCTGCTTCCTTGCCGTCAAGCACGCTTCCGTCGCGATGGAGAAAACCAATCCTTCACGGGACAAAGAATTCGGGGGCGGAAGTATCATATTGACTGCTTCCGGTACGTCCCCTCTCTCCTCGCACAATTTGCAACGCGCTGACAGGGGAAACAGTCGCAGGTCTTCGGTCCGGGGGTGGATCCGTCGATTGTAAGTCCGTTCGTCGTCTTTAAAGAACACTTCGCCGACCATTCCACAGACAGTGCAAGCAAAGCTGCGTACGTGTCACCTTACGCGCTGAGATGACAGTATCATTGATTGTGTCAAAGTGTAAACAACCTCGCGCAGACATCAGCCTACCAGTTGCGCAACACCGACATCCGCGTGAACTCTATCTGCCCGGGTCTCATCGAGACAGACATGACGGCGCGGACGTTCGAGTACGCTGCGTCGCGCGGCACGATGAGCAAGATCGGTCAGCTGAGTGCAATGGGGCGATATGGTGTCGCAGAAGGTATATATTCGCGCTGTGATACCAAGCAAGATTTGCTGAAACGAGTTGGGTGTCTGGCAGAAATCGCGAACATGGCGCTTTTCCTCGCCTCGGATGAGTCGAGCTACGTCAACGGCCAAAACTATGCCGTCTGCGGCGGCTTGTCGAGCTCGCATCCCGTCGCTCCGGGAAAGTGGGCGTAAACGTGGTTCCAAGGTAAATCACAGGTGTGACGTGAACATGGTTGCAAGCGCTGTACCGCAAAGCGCCGCCACAATCTCGAAGTTCCATGCGTGGGCGGACGTAGCTTCGCTATCATGCTGTTGTGCTTGGACATGTAATTTGTTTACAGAGGTTCTATTGGAATCATTCTTGTCATAATATTCTCGAGAATTACATGTACTTTGCAAAGCCAGGCCTAGCGGGGCGACAACCTGAACGGCCTAGTGAACGAAGCATGTAGTTGTGTTGGATAACTGCTGCTCGTCGCGCAGAATCAGCACGTGTAGAATCAAAACGCACTATGATGCTTAGTAGGCGAGCTGCGACATCTCCCCTGATCCCTGTGGTGCCCTCCAATTTCAGCTCTCCATTCTAATCGGCTGGCTGAAATAAAAACGCGGAGCAATATTTTCTGAGCAGGAAAGCGCACGCGTAGGTCTGTGGACTTGTCCGTCGATCATGTCGTGGCAAATTCTTGTCTTTACTGGACTCACCGCGGCCTTCTGCGGGCTAGAGGTAAGTGAGCTGGTTGGGAAGAGTGAAAGCATCACGTACAAGGATTGCCATGTCCGTCAGCTCTTTTTCCGAATCTCTCTGCGCGCTGTATGTAGAGGATCTTCGCTACAGGCTCATGCCGGTTTTCAGGCCGAGCATGCTTTTCGTCCTGCTAGTTCTTCGGGGTAGAGTCTGAGAAAGGGAATATCGCTGAGCAGCCGCTGAGAGGTGGTAGGCGCGAACAAGAGGCCTCTCGCGGCAGCAGGTTCCTGGAAGCTTCCACCACACCTGGAGATAGTGCTGGCACAGCGCACGGAAACTGAGGTGGTCTGAAGGCAGGGGCGAAGGGTGGGTGAGGAAGATCTTAAGAGGATAAATGTGCCGTAAGCGACGTTGGTAGGGTAGGCGACAAGCCGGGGATCGACCGTGGCCATCCGCCTGGGTGCTGGGACGCGGTACCACGTTTCGGATGGGAAACTCTCCCAGGCAGAACTCTCGGGGGTCGCACTCTCGGGGGTCGCGTATGTTTGTCCGCAGGCGTGGCGAGGGATTGCCGCGAATTCGTGCGATGCGCAGAGTCGTTGAATTGTCGCCTACACTCCTGGACGTCGCATAGGGACAGTCCTCGATGCTAGGAGCAGTGTGGGCTAACTGAATACTGATCTGGTCCTTCTGCGGGCCTTTACACCTCTCTAGGAGCGCAAGCGAAAAGGTTCTGGTAAGTACCACGGATAGGTGATACAACAATCACTCACGCTGCTTGATAGGGGAGGCTACTTGCAAGAGGGCGAGCATCGTTGGCCGCTCTCGAGCTCAGACAATGCCTGTGAAACATAAGCTAATGTAGTTATGTTTTCTAACTGCGGAGAGTGCTGCTCACCTGATTCCTGGGAATACATAGGCTCATACGTTATAGGTGGGTCGGTGCTCATCGGAGTACACAGCAGCCAATACTCTACGATATTCACTGTCATGACAAAGAAGCAGGCCTCCGCTTGTCGTAGATTCTAAGCACCGACTATCTTCAGTGAGGCGGGCACTCTTGGAGGAAACTGCCAGCCGACGGCTTCAAGGCACACTACCAGTATGAAATGTAAGCTTCTCCCTGTACTTGCCTGCTCCTATAGGCTCACCTCGTAGTCAAATAGCATTATCGTACTTCGGTGGTGGTCTCTCGTTTCTAAACCGCGCAGCAAGCCTGGCCCAGACGATGAGGCATAGAGTGGAATGCTATTCGCGCTATCCGCGACTCTTCCATTCTCATGGTACGTGATCTGCCTCCCTTTGATATCGCATATCAAGGGACTCAGCCACGGACCATAAAAAGGAAAAATCGCAGATTTACATCGCAGCCATCGAGAGGCCCTTCAACACCACTGGAGGTCGTGCACCCGCAAAAGCCTGGTAGCTTGGGCCTCCCAGTGTGATTCGGGCCTCTTTCCCCATCGGCAACGACGAAAAATTCATTGCCGCTGGAGTTGAGTGTAGGAAACGCTCCTGCGATGTGCAGAACCGTTGACTGTCTGTCAGAAAGCGGGGGAGAAGGTGAGCTGGTTGGCCGTATCGTTCTCCCATCGAGGTATTTATCTCCTCCTCCAGGTTTCGCCCTTGGGCAAAATTCCGGATCACGACAACAGGCTCAAATGTTCTGGTCCACACACTAGTCGCGCGTCGGAGTTCTGGACGGAATTCTGGGACGGAAGACGACGACTCCGCCGCGCTTGAGCATGCATTCAGCAACACCTTGAACGTGCTGTGGCGAAGAAGAGAAGCATGTGACGAGCAACAGGGGGCGGCGGGAGGCCCACGTATCTGCGTTCCTACGTATCTGCGTCTTCCAGAGGCCCATATTGGGGCAGAACGCGATGCACACGCCCGCTTCCCACTCCGCCAGTTGAAACTCCACAGCCGTTTTGCTTCCGTGCGGACGCGCCGGCGATCTGCTCCTGCCAGATACCTCTCCTTCTACACACCCGCTCGCCCGACGATTGGTCCAGCTGACCGCGACTCTGTCGTCAACAAATCCCGGGTGTACGCTCGCACATCTTCTATCTCGGACATGAACCACTCGGTTTCTTCTTGTCCCTACTATGCTCACTAGAAGACTCAACCACCACGAAGCCCCGAACCGCAAGACATTCGTACGATGACTTGGTGGAGTTCAAGTCTCGACCATATGGAAACGCCACACGCAGGATACCATGACCCGGACAGTTCACATGCATCAGGAGCATCGTATTCTGAAGGTTACCCCTCTGAGAGTTGAGACCGGGTGATGGGCTCGATAACCTCGTATGCGGTGCGTCACGTAATTTTCTACTGCTCCCATTGTCCGCCGACGAGATTTTTCTTAGCCGTGTGCCTGATCTACTGCATCGTGGTCTCTGTCAGATATACTCAAGGTTGATGGGCCTCGGCTAGGAAATGCCTCGTCGTGCAATTTCAACCGGCTGCCTCTGCCACAAAGTCGAAGCTAATCGTCCCCGGCAGACGCCACTTTGCGAACATGGCTATAGGCTTACTTCGGTAGAAGACGCGTGGCCAACGTATTAACCTTGCGGCACATCCTCGAGCCACAACATCGACGCCCTGGCTGTGGTACGTAATCGATGTATGAGATGTGTGTGGCAGCTGCTAATAACCCCACTATTACGAACAGCATTTCGGACTGATCCTTGGCAGGGTCTGAAGGGTGCAGGCAATCGTGCGCGTGAGAGCAGTCCTGTGAGTGTCATTCACCTCATGCTTTCTAGGGTCTTGGCATCCACCAGCGTGCAGGGATCTCCGCAATCAAGTAGACGCAGACTGAAAACCAAGTTCATGCCCTGCGTGTAGTTCAGTAATCATCTAGCGCTTCAACCCTTATGCTTGTTGCCTATGAGCAGCTCATTGCGATGTGCTGCTCAACCGAGTAGTACATCGCGATGTGCCGCTCCCTGGGCAAACCAATTGAAGCGGAGAAAGTCTTGGCTTCGGAGAGAATGAAAACCAAGTGACGCGGTGCTCCTCCTGCGTACGTATGTCCCCCTTCGAGATGCTGCAGCTCAAACACGCTCCGGCAAGCCGACCGTGACACCCGCCTGCTCTCTCATGTGAGCGATCCACATGCTTACCCCCTGTCCCGTGGCGCGCCCCTACATCGGAGCTGAAGGTAAATTGCTCTATTTCTGAATGCATTCAGGCGTCCGCATTTACACCGTAAGTTATAGCTTTGCCTGGTTTGTTCGCCGCATGTCGAACACATTGCCGGAACATGAAATCGTGCAAGCGTCGATGACCAAGACCACCAGGCCCGCAAGTCTGCACGAACTCCCCCCCAGCCTGCCACGTGGCCTGTCGATGCTGACCCCAGTCGATGACGACGAAGAGGGCGGATGCAACAGCGAACCACAAATTGTCAGCCGCTCCAGCCAAGACCCGCATACGATGGAGATGACCCGCCAAATACTCTTCAAACTCTCCCACCATGTCGTCTCCCGCTCCCCGTCAGCGAGTGTGTATTGTCGGCGCAGGCGCTTCAGGCATGTCCGCTGCGTACGCCCTCAGCCGCCACCCGGACAAGTACGACGTCACGGTATACGACAAGGAGTCCATCGCTGGAGGTATGGCGACGTCAATCTCTATCGACTCCAATAGATACGGTGCCTCGTACATCAACGACGGGGTTCAAGGCTGCAGCCCGGCATTTGCGAACACAATGCGGATGTTTCGTATGCTGGGGTTCGAACCCACAAAAGTCGGCATGCAGTGCGTCCATTCTCAAGGCTCTTTGATCTAGCATTTTAGAGGTTTTTTGTTCAGGATCAGCTTTGGCAAGGGCGAAGACTTCTGGACGAACGTCTTTCCTACCTCCTTGACTTCGAAGTTCCAGGCCGATATCGCTAAGTTCGGCCGCACCTTGAAGATTATCAAGAAGTTTGAGGTCCCATTCGCCCTCATTCCAGTATACGCCATGCTCAAGATCTTCCGCTTTTCAAACGACTTTGGCGAGAAGATGGTTTATCCCCTGGTCGCCTTATTCTTTGGCACAGGGAACCAGACACCGTACATATCGTGTGCTATCTTGGTATGTGGTCCCAATGGTTTCTACAGGCCTTGCCTTAACACTGGGAGTGCAGGAGCGGGTATTTATGGACCCCAGCATGAAGCTCTTTGAGTACAACGATAAGAGTCTGCTCGCGAGTATTCCAACGATGCTCGCCTTTCCGAAGGTAATTTTTGTGAAATAAATGTGCGTAGTATCTCTCTCACGCTCAGGTTCCGTTTAGCTGCATGATTGCTACCGGGTAAGCCCATCCGCCGAGCTTATAGGGTGTTATGCTGATCTGGCACCCAGGCCTGGAAGGCCGAAACTGCGTCCCGTAACAATGTCACCTTCAAGTTCAACAACGATGTACTACGCGTGGTTACCCGCAGTGGGAAGTCTGAGGCGGGTGCTGTTCAGATCGAGTACAAGGTCGCCAGCGAGGGTATGGAGACAGAACCACAGACAGCATGTTTCGACCAGATCATCTTAGCTATCGACGCCGACTCTTGCCTCAAGCTCCTCGGAAAGGGCTCGACGTTTATGGAGAGACGAGTGCTGGGGAATGTGAAATACCTCTATGACGTCACAATTACCCACAACGATTTGGCATACATGAGAAAGGTACGTGTTGGCTAGGCTCCCTCCTACGTATATCTGATGTGCTTGCTCAATAGTACTACGAAGTTCAGTACGACCCATCTCATAACGCTCTCACAGACAAAATGGCGCCTGAGGAGCGCGACGAGGCGGAGAAAGCATTCGAGTTCGCATCTAAGAGCTTCCGCCCGCTGTACTACACTATGCAGTACCCTGAGGATAAGTCGAAGATCGAAATGAGTTTCGACTTGACGCACTACCAGCCCCAGTTTCGCGGCGAGAAACCCTCCGGGCCCATCGCTCCGAACGACACATCGGACCACCGCCACGAGAGTCAGCCCGTCCCGCAGGAGGCTTGCGACGCTCAAAGCGACGAGCTCGCCAATCAGGGGTCGGCGGCACGCGCCGGAGAGGATCCGCGGGGTGTGCCGGAGCCACCGCTCGAGAAGCACATCTTCCAGACGATCTTCCTCGACCGCGATGGCTCGTCTGAGCGATGGACCGTGGGTGACATCTCCCAGGACAAGAAGATCTACGAGAAGTGGTGGAAGCAGCAGAGTTATCGCTGGCAACACTACGCCGGGACGGTCCCGTGGATGATGTTCATCAACGGGAAGAACAACACACAGTACGTCGGGCCTCTCCGCAATCACTGTGTTCATCCGGGCTTATTTGAGGGCGCTACAGCTTCGCAGGCGCATGGTCGGGTGAGAAACATGGGTTGTCGTTATCTGATTAGGGACTTACCCGGTGCCGCAGTCCTCAACATGCACGAGCTGGCTGTTACCTCGGGCTTCGCCGCGGCCTACAGGTTGGGTGCAGACTACCCGTTCAAGGGCGACGAGGACTGCGAGCGGCTATTCAAGCTGTATCTCGCCCTGAGCCACGGTGTCAGAATGGTGCGTCGAATCTCGTTGCGTGCTTGTTGTTCATAGCTGTTAATCGTGCACAATAGCGTAAGGAAGACAGGAAGGGCTTCTTGGCGTGAGGCGGGACGGCACAAACACCACTATTGGCCTGTGTCTATCGGCGTCGTTTGTTTGGATCTATTGGACTCTGTGAATGCTATTCGTCCATCACATTACGCGAAATTAGGGGTATCGCATGGAAACTATTGCAGTGGCGGCGCTTGTAAAGTAGCTTTATCACTTTTTCTCTTCGGAATGTCATATCAGACTCCCCGGGTTCTTTGTATATGGCTTGACCTTAGCTCGCATAGCCGACCAGGGTCGCCCTTCGCACGTGGCGTAATCAAGCATCCCCGTTTTTCTCCCGTTCTCAGCAGTGTGTCGCGTATGGCGAGCGTTCCCGTAGCTTGCGGCCTATCTTCGCAAAGACAAATCTGAACGAAAAGGTTCGTCAGCACCCGCAGGAACGGCGAGGCTCGCTCAGCGGCACTTACGGCAGGGGCGCCATCAAGGTCATCAGGCCCGCCAGGAAGGCCGTGGCACCGACGGTGCCCATGCGTCCGTACATCTGGTTCGCGAAGAGCGGGAACGCGGCAGCGAACCACGTTCGCATGATAGCGCACCCGGAGAGCGCCGCTGCAGCCATTGGGCGGTATGCGGTCACGAAGTAGGTGAAGACAGAGATGTAGACGAAACAGATGCCGACGCCGAACGGCATTGAGCTGATGATGGGCACGATCCAGTGGACATGCTTGAAAGTCGTGAACGCAAGGCAGTACAGGCCTGGTTCGCATCGGTCAGGGTCGATCGCACGAAGGAAAGGCTGAAGAAGGGTACGCACTTAGGGGGATTAACACCCCTCCGACCTTGCCCATCGCAAGCCACGCCTCGGGCGGTGGATTGCCCATGTAGCGGTCCGCGATACGTCGGCGGTACTCTTTCCAATAGACCATGCTTGCCATCGCGATTACAAGCCCGACGAATACGCCGAGGAAGCTTAGCCCTGTTTGTGAGGGCGTAAAGCCATGCTTGTCTGCGAAGATGATAGGGAAAGCTTGTAGGGTGAGATATACGATCCCGAGAATGAGTGAGAGCCATATGTCCAAGAGCAGTACCATGCGGTCGTAGATCATGAGCACTGGGGGACGTTAGGCCAGATAATGCGGCAAAGCGAAGAGGCCGGCGTACCAAAAATGTCTTGGCAGGCTTGGCCCAATGATTGCAGAATGCTGCTCTGAGACCGTTCGATTGCAGCATGATATCGTTGATCTCCAGTTGCTTTCCGGAGTCTGGGTGAGTATGAGCGCGTGCACATCCGCCAAGGGATTAAGAACTCGCCGTTGAGCTTTTCGCCTCAATATCACGGCAGTTACCGTCTCCGGGACCAGAGTCAGGGCAACCATTTCTCCGAATGTCCACATGATAAGGACATAGTAGAGCCATCGCCAGCCGGCGTACTGTCGATATGATGCTTGAGCACGTGTATAAGGGATGTACGGAAAAATACGCACCTGAAGGATAAAGCTGTCAAAGCATCAACACAGGCGAGAGTAGTGCATATTGACGTGGGGACCTACCCACTGAATACAGGAGTAATGACTGGTCCTACGAACGTTGATATTGTGTACGCAGCCATTGGTCTGTGAGCAGCATACCATAAGAGAGTTTCCACAGGTTGCAAACGAGAAATCGTACACGGCAACTGTTCTATCAGTGAACAGATTCGTGATCGTTGCTCCGCCAATGCTGAGGAATGCCGATCCGCAGAAACCCTGCAGAAACCTGAACACCAGATGCACCGCTTGCCGCTTTATCAGCCCTCTTTCATCTTCTTTCACGGACGGATGTGCTCACCTATGCTCTTACCAAACGCAACGGGCCATGTGAAGCACCACATGAAGAAGAAGCTCGCAATGTATAGTAGCTGCTGGCCAACGACCTCTGCGAGTGGGCCCGTGAGCATAGGCCCGGTGCCAAGGCCAATAACGAAAAGTGTTACGGCGAGCGTCGAGACTTCAGTGGAGACGTGAAACGTCTGGGCTACGCCAGTTTCTGCTGTTGCTGCCTATGCAACCGGTGGGCATATCCAGTCAGCTCTGACGAGACGCGGGCACGGCGGAATTCGGAAACCTGCCATGGCTGAAGCACCGGTGACACATATCGCACCCGCGTTGATAATGAGAGCGGCGAGCCAGCGCCGCCAGAGAGGGAGCGCGACGGCCGGGTCGTCCGCGGATTCGAGAATCACCTCATACAGGTCGTACTTTACGGCGGCACTAGACGTCGGGGCAATTGTGGCTGTGTCCGCCACACCTTGTACGGAGGTGACCTTCTCCACATCGTGGTCCATTCTCGCGCAAAGTTCGTAAAGGTGAGAAGGACAGGCCTCGGTGCGCTGTACAGAATGGCGGAGGTGTTCTAGGTGCACCCAACCTCCTTAAATACCGTACTCATCGTTGGTGCTTTCGATCTTGCGAGGTCATGCTCCCGGGGCCCGCCTTCGTCTGCTGCGGACGCGGGTGGGTCTGGCTTACCGCGCTGGGCGCGGTGACCGTGCGGACAGCTAGTACCGGCGAATGTGAGACAGTCGCGATCGTTTCGCGTTAGGCGATGAGGACGTTCAGGAAATTGGATCGTACGCGCAGTTCGCGAGTTCGCGAAGAGCGGGGTGGAGTCTGATCGGTAATATAATTAAATACAGGTTTCACTCCATCAAAATCAGACTAGTCGAGCTACCAAGCCCGTAGCTGCAAGCGGAAGCCAATAAGCACGCAATTACAAACACAGGGACAGTCGTGCTTACTCATTGCAAATGGTTTTGCCCTCGTCGTCCGTGCACCAGAGCAACGTCGTGGTGATGTGCTAGTCGTCGCATTGCGCAACGACCCCCCGCGATTCCTGGCGAGGGGTAGTCCGCAAGCAGCCCTCGCCGCGTGCAGGCCATGACTGTATCGCTCTGGGTATAGGTTCGAACCAAGGTGGAACAGTGCGATCGTTTGGGGCACAGGATCCTCGATGACATGCGGCACGGCGCATCGCGCGTTTGCGGACGTGAGCACTGACTCCTCCTCGTGCGGACGGTTGTTGTACAAAAGGGTAGGGGCGGTGGCGATAGATACGGTAGAGCAGAGGGTGTTGGGCACGCGGGTCACTAGAAGACCCCACCTGTTGCCCCTGAAACTCAGTTGAAGGCTTGGAGTTGAGCTGAGGTCGCAGGGGAAGCGGGCTGGCCTTCGCTGTAAATCATGACATACGTGGGGACATCGCCGGAGTCCTGGCTCCTCGCTCTCGCCTTTGCCTTCGCCCTTTGCCGCCACCCTTGCCCCAGCTCCGTTACTCTTGCTCTAACCCCGTTGTAGATGCGGAGCACGGCGCACTCTCGTACACTTGGCGGCCGAAAATGGGCTGTAAGGGCGCTATTGTTGTCTGCATTGAAGCTTTCGCCGTAGGCTATGGCGTGTGTGAGTCGTCGAGGACGTTCGTGAGCGTGGGGACGTGCGTGAAGGCGGGTAATGGCAGAGCTCAGAGACCGAGGTAATGAGACCGAAAACAGGGGGGAAGAGAGAGCACTTGGGAGAAAAGCAGGGTCTGCCTGCCGTGGTAGCCGATGACTGCTTCATAAACTCAGTGAGTCGTGTCAGGTAGATTGCACACTGATATTTCCCTACTACCTCGTCCTGCGGTACAGAAAGCAGTCGGAATGTATAGCCCTGTCCAGGCTATTGCACCTCGTTTCATCTGTTCTTGGGCATTACTTGCATGCGTGAAGCGAAGCCAAGAGAATACTGTGAAGTAAGTTATCCGTTTTGGTCAGATGAAGTACGGAGAATGGGTCGCAGACGCGAAAGCGCTGGTTAATGGCCAGATCACGGGACCGCGCTGCAGGTGTTCACGGAGTCAGACTCAACTTCGGGGTCCTGGTCCCCGATATCTTGCTGCGACGCCCTTGTTTTCTGTCTACACTTTATCTAGCCCTAATCCTACTCGTTTCGAGACGCGTATAGACTCGCAGACTCACAAGAGCTACGTACCGGCGAAGTAGCCTATGTGAACGGCTGGCTAGCTGACGAGAGCTGCTTCCATCTACGCTGCCGCCGAGTACGCCTCTCTGCTCACTCTCATTAAACTGCGCGACGCTTACTATTATAGACACAATATCCCAGCTTCTTTTATTACCACAAACAAGATGTCATCAATGTTTGGCCGGTCGTTATCGCCGCAGGCCAGGCGAAAGCTGGAAGACGAGCTTCGAACCTACCGGCGCTACGTTCAGGAAATCTCCGAGGCTCTCAACACAGGCAACGTAGCTGTTATACTACCTGAAGAAATTCTTCTGGGGATCTTCATGTGCCATGTTACATTCTGGTTGGCCGAGCATGATCCCCTAGTACCGCTGTCCTGCTACATCGACACCGTGCGCAATGCCAACGACGACCACGGATGGATGGCTATTTCCTGGGTCTGCAGGCGTTGGCGGGCGGTTGTGCTGAATGCACCGGTGCTGTGGACAAATATTCACGTAACGGATCCAATGGAACCTGTCAAGGCGTATCTCGAACGCTCCCAGGACATGCCGCTTTCCATCCTCGGCAAGCTTCGCTTCAAGAAGGAAGACAAGATCCAACGCATCGCCGGCCCCGACACATAGTCCCTCGTCCTGAAGCATACACATCGTATTGAGTCGATGTGCATCGATTACAGGACGGGCGTAGATCGCGACCTTCGCCTCATTACACAGTCGGGACGGTTCGCGTTCCCTCGGCTCAGACGTCTCAGGCTCCAGCCACCCTATAATGGCGAAGACAAACGGCTCGTTCTTGTACCTCATGAAGTTGACTACCGCGAGTCATTGCTTCAAGAACTCGAACTCACTGGCCTTCCGTTTACTCTCGCTTCAGCCCTCTTCACCGCCAGGTTGCGGAAGCTTACGCTTTATCACATGGAGTGGGATACTTGCCCGCAGCCATGGCGCGTCCTCCTTAACAGTCTGAAGACACTTCTCTGCCTCGAAGAGCTTTGCCTATTCGAGGGTTTCCCGCCAGCACCTCCGGACATGAACATCGAAACAGCGACTTTCCCGTTGCAGCTACTGGCAGCGCCTGTTGCTCTTCCAAATCTTCGGCTGTTCGAGATCACTGGTCATGAAGCAGACGCAGTGCCAGTAGCCATATTGAGAAGTAATCTCGTCTTTCCTGCTACAGCCATGGTACGCGTCGAGGTGGATATCTGGGACCATTCGCGCTCTCAAGACTTCCAGTTGCTCTGTTCCGTGCTAGCTTCCGCATACTCCGCTGCAGCCGCAGCCTCCCCTCTAGGACTGCTGCGCTCTCTGCGTCTTGAGTGGATCAGGTCGGAGCCGACGGACAGTTTGGGTCTGCTCGTAACTGGCTGGGGTGATTTGCCCTCGTCGTTCGAGCTGTTAGTAGAAAGGCCCACTTCAGCAACCCGCTCACCACCACGTCTATCATTCCTCATGACAAACGAAGGGCGACTATCTGAGATGCTCTGCAGGTTGTTCCCACCCCTCCCTCTTGGAGGCGTGCAACACCTCGTCCTCCGTACCCTTCCGCCAGTTCGCTATGATAACTCCGACTGGACGTTCTCAGACTCGTTTGGGCAGGCTCAGGACCTCCGCTTTCTCTGTGTCGAAGGCCTGGCGTGCGATAGGCTCATTCATGAGCTAACGCCGTCGGAGCACCGCCCAGGCATCCTCTTCCCGGCCCTCGAGGAGCTGAGATTGTCCAATTTTGCCGACTTTCAATCGGATCGCTGGTTGACGCGGATCGTGGAGTGTCTCAAGCAAAGACATCCGGAGGCACGCTTGCGAAGTCTCGTGTTTGATGACCCGTGCATAATTCGTTGTTATGTAGCGGAAGTGCTGGATTTTGTGGACGAGTTGGTCTGTATTTCTCGAAATGAAGAAGGGAAGATTTTGTGCCGCCGGCGTTGGCACGTTGCACACTGGTCTGATATGTCTGGTTCCGATGATTCTTTATAGCTTTTCCCTGTAGACGATGGTTCCTTTGATGGGTATATTCTCTGCGTCATAGCACTTTACAAAATTATCGTATATAGCCCAAACATGGGTGATACACGATGGGAGACAGGCTGATAATACCCACGTCGAGATCAAGATGCGCTCATAATGTGCGTGTCAAATGCACAAACCGCAAACCTCAATTATAGCTGTAAACCAGATACCGCTTCTTACGCGGATGGGAGGTCCAACTCCGCATCGACGAACTGGCACCCTTAACTACTTTATCGTCATCCATTTTCACTGGTCCTGCGCGGCCGTCCAGGATCTATAACATCGTCCACGTAGTTTTCCAGCTCGACTCGGACTATTCCAGAGGCCTCAGCCCTCGGGCCTGTGATAGCATCCGTGCCGGTGATGATCAGCTTCATGCCTGGCTTTGCTAGATTCACTCGAGCCCTGAGCGCAGCGACAAATGCTTCATACCATCTCCCGTGCTGCCAGGACTCCTCGGTTTCTTCTTCAACCTCCGTGCTGTCCGCCGGCGAGACGGCGAGGAAGGCGACACGGTCGAGCTTCAGGTGTCTCATTCTCGGATATAGCACCGCCGAGTTGCCATCGCGCATGTGTAGCGTCGTAGGGAGATGTTCTGTAGAGCGTCCACAGACGGAGTGTGTTCACGTCATCCGCGTACGCGAAGGTGTTCGCGTCATGTCAACTCGGCCTGACGGCTCGCTGCCGTACACGCCCCGCTCTATCATAAGGAACTGCACCGTCCTGAGCGGTAGACGCGAAAAGACGTGGAGACTATCGACTCTGCATCGGAGCCACTTAGCTTGACATTGAGCAGCTAGATGCTGGAGGTGCGACACCGGGCGGGCACCTTCGACGGGCACCTGAGTCTGGTACATTCGGTCCATGCACCAGTCGAGATCCTCGTCGTGGCACCCTGCGTCCTTAGCCTCAAGGTCAAGGGGGCGTATGAGCACAGATAGGGTTACTACCATTACGGGGCCGATTGTGTATAGCTGACGTAGAGTGGGCGTCGTCCGGACTTCGATGCTCTCGAGGAGCGTGGCCACAAATGGCTCCTCCGAAACACGAACATCTGCCCTGAAGTGATGAATAAAGGCAGGACAGAAGAAGGCAAGCGCACATTCCATCTCGTCACAGCTTCCACGGCAATGTAGTCCGAGGTTAGGTATCAACATAATCTGATTGCTCACGCGCGCTGCTGAGACCACAACCACCCCGCTGTCCACCCTTTTCATAACATGATGTTCCGATGAAACTGACATAGCTGCTGCAGCCGATGCTCACGACCCTGCCTACCAGAGGCTCGTCAACAGAGACGAATGAGTGTATGACGAATCGCACGAAGCCCACGCGAAACGCTCATTGCTCATGCTAGCGACGACATCACTCATCTAGAGCTTCGCTTTGTCGCCCTTGTTCTTCTTCCTCTTCTTCGTGCCCTCGTCCTGCTGACCGTCATCGCCGGCCTTCTTCTGCTCGGGATGCTTATGCTTATGCTCTTGCTTCTTCTCCTGCGCGGGCTGGACAGCAGGCACAGCATCACTGACCTCAGCCTCCAATTTCTTCGATTTCTTCCGTTGCTTCTTCGACAGCTGCTGCTCAGCGGCGGGCTCGGTGTTTTCTTCCTCGAGAGAACGCTTTTTGGGATTTGACTTTTGGGCTTTTGCCTTGGGCGGGGATGGTGGTGGGAGGAGCTCGGGGGCACTACGCGCGAGTCAGCCTCAGGAACGGTTCGTACAAGGTACAGCACATACTCCTCCTCGTCCATCTCGTCTACTTCCACCTCGACGTCAGAGCTCACATCTTCTAGGCGGAAGACCTCTTCCTCCTCGTCAACAATTTCATCTTCGTCCGGAGGCATGTTCACGGGTTTTTGTTCTGGTGAGAGGTTGGCGGCAGTACGGGAGACAGAAAGCTCGCCCACATACCAATGTAGTTTCCAGAAAGATACAGGGTGCTACAACCCGTGTGAGTGGACGAACACATAAACAAAGCATAGAACATACTTCTTCCCAATGGCCTCGAACACGAACGTCTCGTTTCCTTCCAGAACAAGATCAATCTTTGCCTGCTCAATCTACCCCAAGCTTATAAGCCCTGCACTTATATACGATAAGATAGTTCACCGCACCTTTCCCGGGGTCAGGGAGCATAACACAGTGGCGATGGGTTCGGTAGCAGGCTCCTCGTCTTCCTCATCGTTCTCCTGCGAGTCAGACATGCCGATGTAGACGAGTCTGAGCGTCGTGCGTTCCGTCTCGTCCTGCAAGTCTGCGCCGAGCGCGACGCTCGTGATACGCACAGATGCAGGGAGCTCAAACTCGACGGAATCGTTCGCCTGGATGATCATACTCCTACACTGGAGTCAGCGACGCACTAGTCTCTGAGGCTGGATTCAAAACCCAGGGCTCAACAAACCATATAGCAATCGCGACAGCCATTTTTATAAATGTGTCTATGGCGGCGGCGGCGGCGGCGGCGGCGGACGAGACGAACAGGGGAGATGCAAACCAATCAAAGTTGAACGTAAAAGTTAACATAGCGCTTAAATCCCGACACCCCGACGCACCCCGATGCGCGCGCTCTTCTCCACTTTTGGTATGCTTGATACGAGTACTACGACCTTACCGGATGAAAGCCCCAAATTTGATTTTTCCGACAACTCCCCATATTCGCCATAAATCAAGATTTCCGATTCCCCCTTGGAATCGGTTAACAGATAAGATAGGCCCAGTACGCTTTCATCTATACCACGTGACCAGCGCTTGTCATGCGTTAGCATGTTTTGGTGAAGGAGCAACCTTCTAAATTTTCCACAAACTATCCTGTAGCTCAGAGGACAAAACTGAGTAACCGGAATCATAGATTGTATGTATAGTAACAGTTTTGGTTACCTTGATTTTGAGCAAACAAACACAGCCATGAGCAGTAGGGCTTAAGGAGAGAGACATGGATGAATATAATATAGTATCAAGTTTATGGGATATCTTGCCATGCTGCGCAGCAGTTTAAACAGACTCAGCAAACACACACTGGATGCTCAGGAGACAAAAGGCAAGGTGGTGCACCATCCACCAAGAGCTCAAGTTCACAAAAACAAGGAAAATGTGAGTGTCATGTTTGCCTATATGATCTATCCTGTACTTATCCTAAATGCCAGGCATACTCTGACACCTTGCACGTGATGGTCATGCTTGGTCACATATAGATGGAAGTGTACTGGGCCTATCTTATACAGTGGGTCTTGCGTTCAAGGCATGGAACACTAAAGCACTCTCCATCACTTAACATAGGCAAATACAACCAAATAAGTACAAAGTGAAATGTGCTGCAAGCTGTGGTAACTAAGCTCATGGACCAATGGAAGATAATCATCAGTAGGGCCGCAAGTGGCAACGACCTACTACCTTGCGACACAGTATATGGACGTTGATCACCAAAATGATATCATACACGTGGGATGATTTAAACGTGCTGCTGATAGAAGAAGGACATACTCGCGTAGTTGGCAAGAGCTGTTACACTCTGTTTGTTGCTACCTTGCCTGGCCTGCTCTGTGTTTCTCTATTCTTTTCTCCATGCACTGGCTCCCCTTTTGCGTCCCCTATCTTTTTTTAGTGATGGCTAGTTGATATTGACAAGCTAGTAGTGGTAAGAGTTGATATATGCGCACTTTGTAATCTCGTGCAAAGTTTTTGACACACTACAATGCTCTGGGATCATTGACAGCTGTACATATATATATACACATGTATTACGGAGTATATGACAGAATTATACACAGCGACATACAGATTCACAGAGAAGAGAAAGAGTGGTTAAACAATGCAGGATGCAATTAACTCTCTCTTGATCTCTGCCTGAACGTAACGTGCATTTAGAATGTTTAACCTGACGTCTTTCATGAGAAGACCCATTTGCTCAGTTTCAGACAAAGAGCTAAACCCTAGAAGAGCACTCCCATCAGTTAGTCCTGCTTTGATGAGACAGCCTATCACAACTGCTTTACTCACCTTACTGAGAGACTTGAGGGGTAGGAGTGAAGAGTAGAGGTTAGAGTGAAGCAAGTTGCAGATACTAAGAATCAACGAAGTTGTTGAGTCTGAGGTCTTTAAGCCTTAGACGATGCTTCTTATATACAAGTAATCTAAGACTCCTAACACTACGTAGGATCTATGGTACTCTACATTACTAAGTGCTCATGTGACTACCCGTGACTCGTTACTGATACACTACCATTATGTTTAGTAATATGAGAGATAATGACCATTGGAGTATCTCCATTAGGCTAAGCTTCCTACCAAGTGACATCATTTATGATGTCATGACATGTGACTGGTCTAGAACAAGTTCTGGACTTGTAGTTATCTTATCTACTGATTCCATTATATCTATATAATGACCTAGGTTCTGTGATATGCATATAACTGTGTAAGTCATGTGATCATGTTTAATGCTATAGTGAGTGCTAAGAATATAATAGGCACTTGTATAGGGCAAATTTGTGACACGGCCAACATGTGATTCCAGACATGGAGATTTGAGAGTGCGCAGGAAATAAGCAACAAAGCAATGAGAGCTATCATCATCATCATTGAGCAATGCTAGTGACAGCACCAGTGTGCCTGCAACACAAGTGGTTGCATCGTCATTGCAAGAAATAGAGTTAGACTGGTTTTCAATATGAGCTAACAATGAACTGTCCATGTTAGAGTGACTCACCTGTGCTATGGTGGTGTTCTCTCTGGCCTGTAAGTATCCATTAATACGCGTCATATTACTACCTGGTTGGCTACAGCTAAAATTGTGATCCTTGAGTGAATCGTCTTTCATAGCAGGTTGCGTGGGTTGTACTGTATCACTCGCATTGGTATTTGCGATGTTACCACTTAACAGTCTGTTATCATTTTCAACAAGTTTGTTTGATTCCTGGGAGTGATGATGCTGATATGACTATGTATTGTAAATGGCAATGCACCTTGCTGGACTTCTGGTTACTAATAGGGACAGTCTTTAACTTTTTCTTTTGTGCGATTGGCCAATCTGAGTTCTGAGAACTAATATCAATACAACTATACTTAGCTATATTATTATTTATGACCTCAAATTCTGACGTGATTTTATCACATAGATGTTTGCTTGAACTTGCCACCTCGTGTCTGGAGTGGCTGGTGCGTTTGGGCAATTTGTTTACTTGATGGACAGCAGAAGCAGATCTCTGCAGCTGAGATTGAGTAGTTGCGAGGGCCACTCTGCTAAGAGCCTCCACAGGCCATGCATCATTGAAACACAGGAGAAATGAACATTCAATTTTTGCCTATCCAGTGTTATGACTCGATCAACTCAATAGTCAATGGGACACACCTTCTCAATCATACCCTGTTGTGCAGAGGCTTTCTGTTGCTCCCAAGTTTTGCTAGGGTCCAGATATTCTTTTTGCAGGTCTAAAAGATGATTCTGGAAATAAATGTTTTAACAAGCCAGTTGAGCTGATTATTCATATATCACACCTGCAGTTGCAAAATTCAGCTTCGCTGGGGTCAGAAACATCAGCAAACTTCTAACAGTGGCTCCGCTTGTGAAGGTAGGAAATGAGTGGAGGTTGGGCATTTCTGGTATGCTGAGTGATCGCAGTGAGTTGTGCATTGATTTTGTCTTGATCATGCACATCACCGTGGGTATTGATGATGGAGAGATCATTTGTGTTGGTTCACATGTTTACGATAAGCTGAGACATAGTGGGTAGAGACAGGCAGAATGAATTCAGGAAAGTGGGACATTACAATTTCCCTGTTATGAATGTATCATGTACGCTCAAGAGTCACGTGATTCAAGATCTGCTATTGCACCCAAGCATTACGAGGGTTATTCCATCTGACTGCACTTGAACAACATTTTGTGTGCAATATTGCACCAGAGCACTTTGCATGCATTGTTATACCTGAGCACCCAAGCAGTTGATGTCTACTGTACCTGGGCACTTTGCATGCACTGCTGCTTTCACATCTGCATTCACCACACTTTGTGTTACTCATCGTTCACATCACTGGATGGACAAGCTGGCTGCACAATGCTTTATGAAAAGCCACTTTGAAGTTCTGGAGCTCAAACCATTGTGACACTCACGATGTTCTGCAGACTGTGCTCATGAAGATCAAAGTGAGCCTCAAAGACTTTACAGATCAGAAGTTGAGGTTGCGCTGGTACGTGTTCCACCTGCTAACTGTGCTGCTACTTCATACTTGAACCTTATAATCCAGAAGCCAATTGAAGGAGTCTCACTGTCGCCCACAGTCACAACCACTACGCACTGCTATGTTATGACATTCAGGTAGATTGCACGCTGCTGGGCTTTGAGTCCAAGCTGAGCCTGCACATCACTAGCAAGAGACTAAGAGTGGGAGGAGCAGAACTTCTGAGGGGCAAGACAGCCAAGAGTGATAGTTAAGGTAAAGACCAGCTCAAGGCTGAAGATTTTATTCCAGAAAGTTTGCAGCCTTATATACCTTACAGGATAGGTATCATACAGTATTGCCTAAACACACTCTGACCTACTACAAAGTCCTACATGGAAGCTGAGCCAGAGCTTGACAAAGCCTGACATGATTCTGATAAAGTCCAGCTTATGCAGGGGCTAAGTTTGGGCTGAGCCTAATGCTGACTGGATTGAAATAGGAGTTGGAGAGTTATGATGGAAGAAAGAGATAAAAATAGGAGAGATCTAGAGACAGAGGTAAAAGAGTGAAAATGAGCGAAAATGGGTGGAAATAGAGGTTAATTCATAACAAAACTAATAAGACTTTGCTCAAAATCTCTGCCTACTGTTTAAGCCCCCAATCTCACAACTAATTTACTGTCCTTACAATATTGGCTACAAATGTGATATAGTATTTTAATAGCACAAAAATTTCTAGGTTGATCTCTCTCTCTCTTATTTATTGTATGAGATTGTGTACAGGTGTAATAAACCACTTGGAAGAGCAAAAGATCAGAGAAGGCCAAAGGCTGAGACAGAAGCCTGCTATAATGCAGAACATTCCTACATGTTATAGACTCTTTAAACCCTTGAATATGCTTCTAATACTGTGTATTATATGTGCATGGTGTTCTAAAAGCTGTAGTAGCTCTTGAAAGGCTTTCAGCTACCTTACAGGTATAAAAAACCAGAATACAGCAAAAATAACAGAAGGTTACAGCCTATAGCAGTCTAATCTACTGTGAAACATATATCAAGCTATATATGGGCATATATATATAGACTGAAATGTGTGGAAATCATAGAATGTAGAAGACAGAAGGAACTGAGTCAGGAATACTTGTCTCTGCAATTACAGCAAAGAAGTGTGGATTGTACTACTAGAGGTAGTTAATCAGGTATTGATTGTATCCCTACATAGTTACCAATATGATGAGGAGTGTCTATGAGTATTTTGATGAATTTACAAGGTGTATACAGTATGCAATAGCTTGGCTAACCTTGCAAACACCAGCAAGAATGTTTGCGCTCATTTAAGCGCCATAAGCGCCGGTATCGGGGACATCCGGACACATATAATGGTGCTTTCGCATGTCACGGATTATATCCTCATTTTAGCGGATTTATCCGAAATTTATCGGAAGGAAGACAGCCTTGTCATTCTGGCACCACTCCTGCTCTTAAGAGGTACATCCAAACCTTTACTGTGCCATCCACCCAAAAGAGGCCCTCATGCAGGCAAATCTTTGTGTATATTTACTATATACAGCATCAACAGGTGTGCAGTCAATGCATTGAACCTTAACTCTCTCTGAAACCGGTCAAAAACAGTCAAAACAGCTTTTGGAGGCCCCAAAACAAGCTCAAACAAAGACCGCGCCCCTTCAGCGCTTAAGCGCCCGTTACTAATAGTGGCTCACGTACGCCCGGCTGCAGATCTGGCAGATCTGTAGCCGGGTGTACGTGAACCGCTATGACTAAGCATTTGGGGAGGCTTCTGAGGCCTGCCAGATTCACAAGGCCACCTCTCCTCCAATATATTCCCAATAATTTCGCTAAAATGCGGATATAATCTGCAGCATGCGAAAACACCTGTTTGTACGTTAAGAAGCTCCAATCACCAGCATCAATGGTACTAAAATGGGCGCAAAGATTCTCACCGCCCAGCACAAGGTCATTTCAGCCACTATAGACTATATGCACACTGTAGATTGACCACAATATTGACAGGAACTCCTGAGCATACTGGAAACCATGTATATATACATAAGGACTATAACTACTGGCTTAAGGGAGGTAGGAGCAGTAAGGCAGATGGTGCCAGGGCGCTTATCAAGCACTTATTTGCATATATTTACCTACTTTCTTCTTCTCAGTTCTGTTCTTCAAACATTGAATATGCTATAAATATATATATATATTCTGGATCCTCTCTTCCAGCTCTATCTGCTCATATAAAAACCATCAAGATGTGCCCATATCTGAGATATCACTTTTGCACTCAGACCTGGCTAGCACACACAAAAGACAGTGTTGCTGCATAAGCACATCTAGGTTTTTCATCTTTTAAGGGTTACATGTAGCTAGGTGTATACCAGAAGTATCTAGGTACCAAGTTTCAGGCTGATACTCAAAGTGTGGAAGGCTGTAAAAATTGAGCAAGTTTCACTTCAAAGTTTGAAATGAATCCTAACCTAAGTTTGATGGACTAATGTAATGTCAATACAAATGAGACTCCCACGCATTAGACCAAGCTTTGTGGCAGTGCTGGAAAGCTTCCAAAGTGCTAGTCCAAACAGGACAATTCTTCATTACATTCAGAAATTGTGATTGAATTAAGATGCTTTAATGCATGCACTCAGAATACTGAGCCACCTGTAAGAAGGACTGTGATTAAGGTTCATGATTGCAAGAGACTAAGCCTCTCACAATTCTCAAGCACTAAGTGCCAAATGTTCTAAGCTCATTTTATCTAAATATCACTTTTAAGTTTATTGTGTGTAAGTTGAGAAACACAAAATCACAGATTGCCATTTGATACAAAAAAAGGCAAAGGGATGAATGGTGCAAATACAGATCGCAAGGAAATTGTACATTAAAGTACGAGAAGGGCTACCATAACAAAGACTTATTAATACTCGTGTTAGCCACGATCTCACTGAGACCAAAGGCTTTATCTTGCCAACATAACACTGAATGCTTTCAGGTGAGAACTGGGTTGAGATGGGTGGCATGCTTGAAGAGTATGGTCTTATGGAGAGTCTTTGTGATGAAGGAGATGAGAGTGACATAAGTCACATTGTCCAGATTAATAGTGTTGAGATTGAAAGTGCCATCAGTGATGATGCTGCTAATGTGGCCAAAGGCATCAGCAATGCAAAACCCAGAGTCCCGCTTGATAGAGAACAGGCCTGAATACTTGTTAGTAGAAATGACTGGCCACTCTCTCGACTCATGGTACTGGCTGGCAGAATATTTGCAGATATACAACAAAACATTATTTGCCCTGCCAATGGCCATCTCAGTCTTCATGCCATTTTTAAAGACAACCAAGCACATATTTCCCTAAGCATCGAGCATAGATGATATAACAAGTTTGCTTTTAGAAACCTGGTCTTGAAGCATTACAATATAGTCAGAGGGGAATTTAAAGGAAGTGGGGCCAATAGAGTTCAGATAGACCTTGCCCATGAATTCCAGGTACATGTACTTGTCACCTATATTGATGCTGTTGCCACAGTAGTTTTTGGCATTGAGCTCACTCATGTCAATCTCGATGACAGCAAGGTCCAGTGTGTACTGACTAGGTTCAATGGAGTAATGAAAGGAGCCCTGATGAGCTTCCTGATGGCATGCTTCTCTTTTGCCCCCTACTGAGTAATGATCTCATGGTGCAAGGCCTCAAGTGCCTCCAACCTCTACTCTGCGCTCTGCAAAACCTTCTCTGCCTTCTTGCGCTCCATAACAGACAAGGAGTCATCTACATCCTCAACTAACTTGTTGACATTGGCAATCACAAACTCTTAGTCCTTAATACCATTCTCAATGGCAGTGAGCTTTCTAATGAAGCCAGAGTCATCAAGGACCATCATATCTTCATGCATCTTGCTGGTGTTCATGTGCTTATATTCCTTGTTGTTGTCTTCAGTGATGGAAAGAATAACGTGCTGGGCAGTGGCAAGATAGATGTTCTTGTTGTCACTACCAGTGCTGAGGCAGATGCTGGCTATTCCCTCAATCCCAAGCCTATGCTTAATGGAGGTTGAAAAACTGAGAGTTGTAATGTATGGCTGGCAAGCAGTGAAAGTTGGGTGAAGTAAGGAGAGAGGATCAAAAAACCCAATGCCAGTCTATTATATAATGTGAGACTCCCAGATTTCTACATGGTAGTTGGAGATATAATAAGTGTTGATGAATGTGTGGCATTGAACAACAATAGTGTTGTTCTTTTCGAAGCTGAGTATCTCAGTCTCAACTCCAATCTACAATATGGCCAGGTCAGAGGTAGTGCTGCCACGGCTTGGCTTGAAAGCTGCTCAGCTGTTAAGCCAAGCTACGTGGAAGCTGAGCCAAGCCATTAATTGGCTCATGGCTTACCAGTGACTTGGCTCAGCATGGCACAGCTTGGCTCTGACTCATAGCCAGTCAAGCCATCCTGATAAGGAAAGGCCTGTGGAGCCTTACTTGCCACTAGTGTTGCCACGGCTTGGCGCGGCTTGGCTGT